ATATTGAATGGCCAAAAACTGAAAACCTTCATGTTAAAATCAGAAACAAGACAAGGATGCCCATTATCACCACTTCTCTTCAATATAGTTCTGGAAACATTAGCCACAGCAATTAGACAAGAGAAAGAAATTAAAGCAATAAAGATAGGAAAGGAAGAAGTTAAACTATCATTATTTGCTGATGATATGATACTCTACATTGAAGATCCAAAAAACTCCACCAAAAAACTTCTAGACTTAATTGACAGATTCAGTAGAGTATCTGGATACAAGGTGAATACCCAAAAATCAATAGCCTTCTTATACGCAAATAACAGACACACGGAGAGAGAAATAAGGGAAAAAATTCCTTTTACAATAACATCCAAAAAAATGAAGTATCTAGGAATCAATCTAACAAAAGAAACAAAAGATCTCTACATTGAAAACTACAGCACTCTGAAAAAAGAAGTTGAAGAGGATATAAAAAAATGGAAAGATATCCCCCGCTCCTGGGTAGGAAGAATCAACATAGTGAAAATGGCCATACTACCAAAACTGCTATATACATTCAATGCAATGCCAATTGAAATTCCAACACTATATTTCACAGAACTAGAAAAAAAAATCCAAAAATTCATTTGGAACCATAAGAGACCCAGAATAGCAAAAGCCATTTTAGGCAACAGACACATGGCACCAGGTGTAACAATTCCCAATTTGAAACTATACTACAAAGCCACTGTGATAAAAACAGCATGGTACTGGCAAAGAAATAGGCCTGAGTATCTCCTTTTTGATCTCTCCAATGTAAACAACAGGTCTTATGCTGGGGTGATAGGCAAGTCTAACTGCTAGTTACTTAAATGTTCAACCAAAATCCTACTAAATCTCACCCCATGCTACACCCTTCAAATATACTTAAAGCCCATAATTTTCAAACTTTTGCAGATTCCTATGGTTTAAATCTTGCTACTTGTATATAGTTTGTTTTTTGTTTTATTTTTGTTTTTGCAGTTGTAGAAGTTAGTTGTGCATACAAAGCAACAGTTCACAAACTGGGAGACATTGAACTAGGAATAAGAATCAGTCTGCCTTCTAAAATTTTAAAAATAAAATCTTATCTTGCAAGCCAGGCATGGTGGCTCACGCCTGTAATCCCAGCACTCGAGGCAGAGGCAGGGGGATCGCTGTGAGTTCGAGACCAGCCTGGGCTACGTAGTGAGTTCCAGGTCAGTCTCAAGTACATAGTGAGACCCTGTCTCAAAAAACAAAAACCAAAAACAAAGACAAAAAAATCTGATCTTGCAGCACTGTCAGTACTGTTTTGAATTTATTATGTATATTATTTTCTAACATCCAAAACTAAACAGTTGATATGTTTATTTTATATTACTATTAAATTTTTATTATTTACATGAAAAATAATCAGTCTGCCTTACAGCACAGTTTATAAAAGGTGTTTTGACTTTAATCATTAAATTTGTTTCTCATTGACTTCCCTTACTGATTATTTAGGATTCAGCCTATCACTGCTTGAGAAATCAGTTACTCATCTATTCAATTTCTAGTTTCTGAAATTTTGTTAACAATTCATATATGCCATCAGCTACTCTGCTTCTCTCCTTACTTGTCTTTCTATGCCTATTCCCTATTTTATACTTTACCATCATTTTATACTTTACCATTATTTTAATAGATTGGGAAAGGACCAAAAATAAACATGTGTTTAGTCTTCGTATATGTACCTGAAAGCCCTGCACTATTCAGAAAGAAAGGGAGTTTTGAGGAATTCTATAAGATGCTTTAATCTGTTTTACTTTGTTGTATTGTGCAGTATTCCAGTTTTGTTTGAAAATAAGAGAATGAACTTGTAAATACTATTTTTGCCTGTTTATCATGTTATTATAATCAAAGAAGAACCACAGTCACAAATTTTTATAAGTTTATTAATTGAACCATTTATTTCTCAGCCAGTGGGAGCACAGGAATACTCTGGCTTTCAAATCTTCTAGACTTTATTAATAAATCTCTTAAAAATACTGTAATTATAGCCGGGTGTAGTAGCGTAAGCCAGTAATCCCAGCACTTGGGAAGTTAGGGCAGGAGAATTACCACAAGTTCAAGGCCAGCCTGGGTTCCTATACTATATAGCAAGACCCTGTCTCAAAAAACAAGACAAGAAAAAATATACAGAAATCAGGCCAGGGATTTAGCTCAGTGGTTCTGCTGCCTGCCTCACAAGTATAAGATCCGAAGTTCAATCCCTGGTACCAAATAAATAAATAAATAAATAATACTGTAATCCTAATTCTTTTAGTGTACTTTACATTTCCTATTAGGGTGTGAAATTATTTCATAGGAAATTTATGTGGCATCATTCGTTTATTTTTAAAACAATTTGTTTGTTTGTTTGCTTGTTTGTTTGGCTAGAGCTCCAGAACTATTTAGTTATATAGCAAAAAATAGCCAAGAGGATGTGTTCTACGAAGATGACATTTGGCCTGGAGAAAATGAGAGTGGGTAAGCAAGATCTGTGGTATTTACTGTCTCATAGTTCAACTTATTGGTTCCACTGAAAGGGACAGCTAGTTTATCAAGAATTTCTCGTTATTTGTTTTGTTTTGTTTTCTCTTATTTCACTTATGCTTTAAGAACTCAATAAAATGTTTATTTTCTTTGTTTCTGAAATATTTTTAAACTAATTTTTGTGGGTTTTTTATTGTGGAGAGGTAACATACCCATATTTATTACAGATTTGTAATACCCAATTAAGTTTAGTGATTAATAATTATATAAATTTGTGACAATTCTTGGAAAGTTTCTGTAAGTTCTTTTATATGAGTCTCAAAAATTTTAATCAGTGTGAAAAATTTATTGTTTTTACTGTAGTGCCGAGAAAGTTCAAGAAATTATTACTTGGCTAAAAGGACATCCTGTCAGTACTTTGTCTCGTTCATCTTGTGATTTACAAATTCTGGATGCAGCTATTGTTGAAAAAATTGAGGAAGAAGTTGATAAATGCAAGGTACTAACTTTTAATAACCAAGATTATTGATGAAAGGGGCTGGGGATTTAGCTCAATGGCACCGATTTTAATTAATATCAAATAATCCTGTTTAGTTGAATAAATACATTTATTATTATTTTAGTTGAGTAAATACATTTCAGTGGACAAAAGCCATAACATTTAAATTTTGTTTCTTCATAATGTTTCCAACTTTCAGAATTAGTGTTTTCAGATTTATGATAGTTTGTGTCTGAGAAACAAGGTTAATCCTCTATTCCTTATGGTTTTAACTATATTCTTTAAAGACACAGTTCATGTTTTTATAGAACATAAAATTTATCCAGTCAGATGCAATGATATGAATTTGTAGTCCCAGTTACTTGGAAGGCTGAGACAGGGGCATCACTTGAGCTCAGTTCAGGACCTACCTCGGCAAAATAGAAAAACCCCATCTCAAAACAATACAAATTTTATTTATTTAATTGACTTTTATAAAATTACTTCTAAATTATACTTCTGCCCTTTTTTCACTCATTAATTTATGCAGGTATTTAAAAGTGTTGAAATTCCACTTAATCTCCTATTTTTTGTATATTTTTAAAAGAAGAAAGAGTGTGTAGTAGACTTATCTATTTAAATCCTCCATTTGCTATGGTAGAATTTGGAATGATTGAGCTAGGGATATAGCTCAGTGGTAAAGAGCTTGCCTAGCATGCAGAAGGACTGGGTGCCATCCCCAGCATCACAAAAGAAAAAATATTAATGCCTCTTTGCTACTAATACCTGATAATGCTTTCTTATTATTACTATTATTGAATTCTCTTATCTCCAAGAGCTGTGATTACCGCTTTTAAAAGTCATCACTAAATGATTTGAAAAAAATACAGGACTCAGAGTCAAGAGTTTAATCATTATTACAATTTTTTTCCAATTCTGGGGATCAAACCCAGAGCTTCACTCATGCTAGGCAAGCACTCTACCACGGAACTATACCCTCAGGCCAAAGAGCTTAATTTTTGGAAAGTTATTCAGCTAAGGATAGAAAACTTGTATTTCTTTTTTATTGTCTTTCAGTATAGAGTGATGTTTGGTAGCACTGTTTTTGAAACTAATTTTCTTGTTAACAAATATTCATAACTTGGAAGACTCCCAGTTTTTTAACCCATTTGGATACAGAGCATTCTAAAATGTCTTACACATTTTTTTCCTTTACTTTACAAATGGAAGATACATATAGGTGTACATATAGATAAGAATTTTATTTAAAACCTTTTGTTTATTTGTTGTTTTGTTTTGTTTTGTTTTTGAGTACCGGAAATCAAAGTCGGGTCCTTGTGCTTGTGATGTAGGCAACAGAACCACTGAGCTAAATCCCCGGTTTACGAGGGGGTTTTTTTTTCCTTTTTGTGTTACACTGTTTTTATGGTGTTGAAGAAGAACAAACAAAAAACCTAATGCAACGTTCTGAAGATGATTTAAATTTTTCTGTGTTTTGTAGGATCATCACTAAAAGTATCAGTAGTAGCCTAGCACAGAGTAGTACTTGCTTGTAATCACAATTATCAGGAGACTGAAGGAGGAGGATCATAAGTCTTAAGGCCAGCCTGGGCAACTTAGTGAGACTGCCTGAAAATAAAAATGTCTTGAAAGGGCTGACTGGGGATGTAGGACATTGGTAGAACACTTGCCCTAACATGTGCGGGCCCCCTCAGTTCAGTCCCCAAAACTACCATTTCTTTTAAAAAATAATCTTAATAGTTTTATTTGTTTGGTTTTTTGGTTTTTTTGGGTGTTTTTGTTTGTTTGTTTTGTTTTGTTTTGTTTTTAGACAGGGTCTCACTATGTAGTTAAGAGTGATCTGGAACTTACTATGTAGTCCAGGCTGGTCTCTAACTCACAGATCCTCTTGCCTCAGCCTCCCAAGTGCTGGGATTACAGGTGTGCACCACCACACCCCACTAATCTTAATAATTTTAATAGTGCATGCTAATTATACAGATAATGAGTTTCACTGTGGCATATTCATGAATGCATATATCACTTTGATCTTGTCTACCCCCCATTCCCCTTCCTTTCCTCCTTCTACTGATCCTCTTCTACTTCTCCAATAGTCACCTTTCTACTTTTCGTATCTTTTTTTTAGTGGTTCCCAAATTTAGGTAATTTTCCAAAGTACTATGAAAGCTTTAAAAAAATAAAAATTTTGCCAGGCATGGTGGCGCACACCTATAATCCCAGCACTCTGGAAGCTGAGGCAGGAGGATCCCTCTGAGTCCAAGACCAGCCCGGGCTACATAGTGAGACTCTGTCTCCAAAAAACCAAAGCTAAATAAATAAAATAAAAATTAAGTGTTAGGGATGTAGCTCAGTGGCGCCATGCCTGCCTGGCAAGTGCAAGGTCTTAAATTTGATCCCTGGTACCACAATCAATCAATAAACACACGCACATAAATAAGTAATAAAACCTTGGTTGGCGAGCTTAATTTGTTCTGTAAACATCCTTGTAATCCAAATCCCTTATACTAAATATCAAAGAGATTTCCCCATAACAAATAATGAAAACTCAGGTGATTCATTCCACACCCCAAAAATATTTATATAAAAATGATTACAGTACCGTAGTATAATTTAAAATAATAAAGAAAATGCCAAATATAAAGAAAAATTAACAATTTAGCCTGCACATACTTTTTTTTTTTTTTGGCAGTATCAGTCAAACTCAGGACCTTATATTTATGAGGCAAATGCGGTGCCACTGAGCAAAATTCCCAGCCCAGCCTGCACGTGTTTTTGAAAACCTTCATGGCTGGTGTGAGGGAGACAAGAGAAGGGTTATTGTATAGGGTGACTTTCACTATTAGTAACAGAATCACTGCCATCTGTTGGCTCAATGAGGTCTTTTTCTTTTCATGCACCTTTAACAAGGAACCTATTCAATGACATTTGCTTTTGCCTCTTTGAGGTTTTGCAGAAATGTGGCATTGCATTGTCCTTAAACAGATTCATCACTAGCACTGTTGCAGCCTTATTTGGGTGATGCTTTTCTACAAAATTTTGCAGTTTCCCACATTTTATACATTTCTGTTATCTCATTTGAAGCGAGGGATTCCTCTGCCTTTTTCTCCTCTTCCTCTGCAAAGGAGATCTCCATAACCTCTTGCTGTTGAGAGACACCACTCACAGTCCTGCCACAGAGAAAAAGAAGCACCATTGGTTCAGTTGATCTTGTGACATTTGGTGTCATATGCTACTTGTATTGCAAGATACCACTCACTTATCAAATTAAAATTTATTTGAAATATTTGCTCATCTTACAAAACACTCACCAAGCAAATTACTCACTATCCAAGTTTCACTGTACTTCTTATTAGAGAAAACAAACAATGTACATAAAATTTAAAACAGGCAACCTGATCTTTTGTGTTAGAAATAAGTTTACTTTTGGGAACAGTAGTAAATGATTGTGCTTAGTAAAGATATTTCTTGGATCAGGTAGAGTTACACATAGATATACTACAAATTTATATCTGGCTATGTACTTATGACTTTGCCCTTTTTTTTTCCATACTGAGGATTAAATCTAGGACCTATGCACTGAGCCTCATTCCTAGCCTTTTTTATTTTATTTTATTTTTGATTTGAGACAAGATCTCACTAGGTTGCTAAATTGCCCAGGCATGCTTCAATCTTTCAATCCTCCTGTCTCAGCCTCCCAGGATGCTGGTACAGGTGTGCGTTAGCACACTTAGCTTAACTTTGCATTTTTATGTCTTATGTTCCAAAATTTGTACTTTAAAAGTTTTTAAGAATCTAGGTTATAGGTAGTTTATAAATGTTTAGTTGATTCCTCTTTACTGCAACTCCAGAACTTTAGTTTTTAAATTAATCATTTCATTTGACCTTATAGAATTCAGACATATTGAAGTAATAATATAATAACTTCATAATTTTATATTTTAAATATTTATCTTTTCTCAGCAAAGAAAAAATAATAAGAAAGTACGAGTGACAGTGAAGCCCCATTTGCTATACAGAGTAAGTTTCTGTCAAATAATTCAAAGTTATTATTTTTATTTTTAAAGTATGAAAGGAACAAAAATGTTTTCAATATATCAGTAAGACTTTTAATTATAATTAAAAACTTCCTTCTTTTCAGCCTTTAGAACAACAACATGGAGTCATTCCTGATAGAGATGCAGAATTTCGTCTCTTTGATCGTGTTGTGAACGTGAGAGAGAATTTTTCAGTTCCAGTTGGCCTTCGGGGAACCGTCATAGGAATTAAAGGGGGTAATATTTCAACACATGATGTCTTCAGCTACTTTTATATTGTAAAGGAAAACACAGAGTTGTGTGTTTTATATAGCCAAGCAGAAAACAACTATAAATCAGGATAAAACTGAATCCCTATATGTATTAGTTTTTTGGCTTTCCTTTTTTCTTTTTAGTTTACGCTTTTCAGAGAAAATTCTTTTCTGTTTCATATAACCATTTTAATAGTGATTAAAAGAGCAAGAAGTGGCAAAGAGACTATAGAGAATTTGGTAGTTTTTATATAGTACACTACAGTTATAAGATCTTGGAGGGTATGCATATATTTTCATGAAACTGAGAAAGTATTTTTATCAATTCTCCTTAAACTTTCCTAATCTTGCTCAGATCTTTTCCTTTTTATTAAAATCTCTAGGTTTCTGTGAATAAACAAAAAAGTCATTTTATGGTTAAAAGACTTGGGAAATGTGCATATGAATTTGTATTTTACGACTATAACTAGATTATGTAAAACAGACTTTATCACCTGTTGCACAGTAATTAATATGCAGGATGTTATCACTAATGTGCTATGTACTTTAAAATGGTAAATTTTGGGCTGGGGATTTAGCTCAGTGGTTCTGCCACCTGCCTTGCAAGCACAAGGTTCAAAGTTTGATCCCTGGTACCAAAAACAAAACAAAAACAAAAAGGTAAATTTTATGTGCCTTTGTCATTTTGTCGTTTTGGTGCTAGGGATTGAACCCAGGGTTGTCATGCATGCTAAGCGCATGTTCTACCACTGAGCTATATCCCCAACTCCTATGCGATTTTTACCACAATTTAAAAAGTCAAGGGCCGGGGATTTAGTTCAGTGGTTCCACCACCTGCCTTGCAAGCACAAGGTCCTGAGTTCAAGCCCCAGAACCGAACAAAAACAAAAAAAGTCAAAACTGCATACCTGTAATCCTAGATACTGAGGATAGTGAGGTGGGAGGATCACAGGTTCAAGGTCAAGCTGAGCAATTTAGCAAGACCTTGTTTCAAATAAAAATAAAATAAAATAAATAGGCTGGGGAGGTAGTTCACTGTTCCCTCAGTTCAATCCCTGGCATCACAAAAATGAATGATGATGATTATGATGATGACAACAGCAGACAAAAAATAGAAAGTATTCCAGAATCTAAATGTGCTTCAGAGGGCCAGAGAGTTCCACTTGCTTGCCTCTCAAGCACAGGGTTCTAAGTTCTATCTCCAGCACCAAAAAAAAAAAAAAAAAAATTTACTAAAGTAGGCAATTTAGTCACATTTTTTGTTTAAAAGTTTTAAAGACATTTACTTGCACAATATATTACACATTTCCAATTTTAATCTATCAAGAAATAACCCTGCAGAAACTAGTTTGTGCTCATTTCAGTAATATTTCTTAGATTTAATCTCTTAAATGCCTAAAGTGACTTGGGCCAGGGATTTAGCTCAGTGGTTCCGCTGCCTGCCTCTCAACACGGTCCCGAGTTCAATCCCCAGTACCAAAAAACAAAAAAATAAAAAATAAAGTGAGTGACTTTACAGTGTAGATTAAAGAAAAAAAAGTTAACCCCAGCATGAAGCAGCAAATCAGGTGGCCACTGGTTGGCGTGCCTGGAGTTCCAGGCTAGCCTGGATCACATAGTGAGTTCAAGGCTAGCCTGATCTGCTTGATAACATCCTGCCTCAAAAACAGAAAAGGAGGCTGGGGATTTAGCTCAGCGGTTCGGTGGCCTGCCTTGCAAGCGCAAGGACCTGAGTTCAATCCCCGGTACAAAAAAAAAAAAAAAAATACAGAAAAGGAAGTCTTGGAGGCAGAATATCTTCACTTTGGGGCTCTAGGCTATCAGAACAATTTGAAGGACAAAAGTGGAAGATTTAAACTATCCATGTATAAAGTTTATAAAGCAATGATGGCAAACCTTTTAGAGCTTTCAGTGATAAAAATAAAACACCCTGCTGCAGCATGGGTGCCATAGTTCGCCACTCCTGTTTTAAAGCTTGAATAAGGAAAAACTGTACATTGGCATCAAAACAGTCATGAGTGCAAATCAGTGAAATGGAATTAAAATCTAGTAACAGACCCATACATTTTTTGGCCAATTGATTTTTCAATAAAGGTGCCAAGATAATTCATTAGAGAAGGGATAATCTCTTCAACAATTGGTGCTTAGACCTAAATGTAAGGGCTAAAATTATAAAAGTTCTACAAGAAAATCTTTTGGGGTTTGTTTTTGTTTTGTTTTTATAACTGGATGCTAAACCTAGAGCCTTCAGAGTGAGCTGCATCCCATCAATTTTTTTAAGAAAGGATCTTGCCAGTTTGCTCAGGCTGGGTGTGAGTTTGCTTTCCTGGTTCTACTCCCAGAGTGCAGAGATTATAGGCTTGTGCCACCATGCCAGGTTTGAAGAAAAACCTGGCATGTTGTACTGGGGGGTTGAACTCAGGAACTTATACATGCTAGGCAAGTGCACTACCACTGACCTATATTCCCAGCTCCCTAAAGAAACTCTTAATAACCTAGAGTTTGATAAAGGTACCAACCATAAAAAATTTTTTGGTAATTTAAGACTTCATCAAAAAACCTTGTCTTGCCACCTGCCTCACAAGCACAAGGACCCAAGTTTGATCCCTGGTACTGGAAAAAATAAAGACCTTGTTAAGGCCGGGAGTGTAGCTCAGTGGTGCCACACCTTACTCACAAGTGCAAAGTCCTAAGTATCCCTGGTATCAAAAAAAAAAAAAACAGGGCTGGGGATTTGACTCAGTGGTTCTTCTGCCTGCCGTGCAAGTGCAAGGGCCAGAGTTCGATCCCCAGTACCAAACAAAAAAAGCAAAAAACCTTACCACAGAAATGAAAAGACAAGCCACATACAAAGAAAATGAAAGCCCTAAGTCAGTAAAACACTTGTATTTAAAATGTATAAAGAGCCAAGGATTTAGCTCAGTGGTTCTGCCACCTACTTCGCATGCGTAAGGTCCCAAGTTTGAGCCCCAGTACCCAAAAAAAAGTAAAATATAAAAAGAATTTTTATAACCTAGTAATAAGCAACTTTAGTTTTTAAATAAGCAAAATAGCTGAACTGAAGTTTTCCTCAGAAAACATGCCAAAAACATGAAAAGATGTGCAGTATATTAAGAAATTTGCAGGGCCAGGGATTTAGCTCAGTGGTTCCGCCGCCTGCCTCGCAAGTACAGGGTCCTGAGTTCAATCCCTGGTACCCTCCCAATAAGAGAAATTTGCTGCTTTCTCTGTGACTTGCTCCCCTATTTAACCCCCATTTAATCAGTATTACCTGGGTGACTGTACTTGGTCATGGTTTTACCCCATCTCATGCCCACCTTGTCATTTTCCATTAGGTTCTATAGGTTTGTCCCACTTTGTACCTGCCTCACCACGTGGCTTTATTGTATAAAATGTCTTTGAGAAGTGGGATGGGTGGGCAACTCACTTTCTAGTCCCCCTTCTGTCACTCTTAGGCAGAAGCTTTCTTTCTCCCAATAAATTTTTCCTACTCTTAAAAAAAAAAAAAGAAAGAAAGAAAAGAAAGGAATATGCTGGGTGTGGTGGCACATGCCTGTAGTCCCAGCGCTTGGGAGGCTAAAGTAGGAGGATCACCATGAGTCTGAGGCCAGCTTGGGCTACGTAGTGAGTTCAAGGCCAGTCTGAACTACATAGCAAGACCCTGTCTCAAAAAACAAAACAAGTTAGTCATTAGAGAATACAAAGTAAAACCACAAGAAGATATTACTACACACGAACTGGACTGATTATGCCAAAGTGTTAGCAGTATTTTAGAGCAACTAGAACTCTCCTCTACTGCCAGTAGGAATGTAAAATGATGCAACCACTTTGCAAAGTAGTTTGGTTAGGTTCTTAAAAAGCTACCAGGCATGGTAGCACATGCCTGTAATCCCAGCACTCAGGAGGATCATGGAGAATTAGAGGTCACCATGGGGTAAACTGACTAATATAATATATAAGAGACCCTGTCTCGGATGGATGGACAGACAGGCAGATGGGCTAAACATAGGGCCAATCCATTTATTCCTTAAAACTTACCCAAGAGAAATGAGGACTTAGACTGTCTGAAAGCCTGGTTCATTAATTTTATGGTACCAGGGACTCAGGACCTTGAGCTTGCAAGGCAGGCTTGGTACCACTGAGCTAAATCCCTGGCAAGTTCATGAATCTTTATAGCTGCTTTATGTGTAAGGTCGAAAAACCAGAAACAATTGAAATGCTTATCAACAGATGCATGGATTAACAAATTGCCACTACTTATACAATAAAATATTTCTTGGCAAAGAGAAAAAAGTTACTGTCCCATATATGAAAATAATTATACTGAACTGAAAGAAGCCAGACAAAAAAGGAATATATACTATATGATTTGTGTGTTTAAAATTTTAGAAATATGAGCTGGTGTATGGTAACAGCAAATTTTTAGTGGTTTTCTAAGGAGCAATATGGGTTACAGAAGGACACAGGAAAATGATGGGCATGATTATTATATTTGTGGTTGCTTCATGCCTAAATATATATAGAAAAACTCATTAAATTGGATACTTTTTTAGCAAAGCATTTATTGGTACATTTTAGATATACATAGTCGTAACATTCATCATAAGGAATTTGTACCAGTACATGATATATTGCTACTTCTTTTTTTCCCTCCATCCCCCTTTCCCTTCTACTTGTCCCCTCCTTATATTCGAAAACTATTTCCATTTTTTTCTTCTATTTTCTTTTTTTTTTTCTTGTTCCCCTGTCCTTTTTCCCTTCTCATTTGAACATTCTCTTCCCATTTCCCTATGTCTGTTGTACATTATAGTCCTTATTTTCACTTTTGATTTCGCCAAAGAAACAGTGCAGTATTTAAAGATGTGTATTCGATTTGTTTCACTTAAGAATATGGTCTCAAGGTCTATCCATTTAGCCATAATGTCTCATGCTCATTCTTCTTTATGGCAGATCAGGTCTACATTGTATATATTAAAACAAAAAACAAAAAAAAAACTTATCTTCTTTATCCATTCATAAGTTGATGGGTATGTGGGCTGTTTCCAAGATTGAGATATTACAAATTGTGCCCCTATAAACATATATATACATATATTGCTGTAAATTGCATACTTTATGTACATTTTATCATGTCACTTTTGCACCAATCTATTTTTTTAAAAAATTTTTTGCCAGTTGTGGTGATGCACATCTATAATCCCACCACTCAGGAGCTGAAGCAGAAAGATCGCTACGAGTTTGGGGCCAGCCTGGGGTACATCATGAGTTCAAGACCAGCTTAAACAAATTGTCCAGCCCTATCTCAAAAACAAAACAAGGTGGGGAATTTGGTTCAGTGGTTCCACTGCCTGCCTTGCAAGCACAAGGGCCCGAGTTCAATCCCTGGTACCACAAAAAAACAAAAGCAAAAAAAATTTTTAAGTACATTCCATAACATCCTACAATTTTTATTTTCCTTCTAAACTAGGGAATGGTTCCGTTATGTAAAGGATGATATTTGATGATAGCATTTGCTGGTAGCATTGTTTATAATTTCAGAAAAGTGAGAAACAACTTAAATATCTTTCAGCAAAAGAATGGACAAATTATGGTATATCCATACATGCACCAGTGTATGTTCAGAAAACATTATTTTTTAGTACCAGGGATCAAACTCAGGACCTTGCGTTTGCAAGGCAGGCATGTTGCCACTGAGCCAAATCCCTGGCCCAATTGCAGTAAACTTTAAAAAAATCAAATATACTTTGAAAGTTAAATTGCAAAAGAATATTTTTGCTGTCATATCATGTTTATAATGTTTCAAAACTTGAAAAACAATTCCATGTAATATTTATATGTTGACATATAAGGAGAGTATGAAGAAATGTATAAGAATTATAACTGCCATTAGGAATTAGAACACAGTGTTTTTCCTAAAGGCCAGTCAGTATACTGTTTCTTAAAACACATGATATTCATTGTGTTATTATATCATTCTCCATATTCAAAATGTTTTATGTGAATTTTTAAAATAAAATAAATGTTTCTGAGTCCTCCAAAAACTTGTCTGCTGATTTTTCATTATAAGAATTTTTCTGTCTTTTTTAACAGCTAATAGAGAAGCTGATGTACTATTTGAAGTATTGTTTGATGAAGAATTTCCTGGAGGATTAACAGTAAGGTTTGTATTTCCAGATTGTAATTTGTGAATGTGCTCATGTGACTTCTGATTTTAAATTAGGTAGTTCGTAATATATGCAATATTGTCATATTTTCTACTATGGATATAACTGAATAAACAGACATGCTTTTTGTTCTCTTATTGCTTTCATTTTAGAGAAATAAATTAAGCAACTCATTACAATATTAATTGTTTAATTAAATATGAGCGCATGGAAGGAGAAATGAATAATAGTTAACTGGGAAAAGAGGAAACAATAGTGAAGAATGCTTAGGCAACAGAGTAGCATATGCAACTCAGGACATTTATGATTAATTAAATTAATAGAAATGTAGAGCCAAGGATGTAGCTCAGTGGTGTCGTTCCTGCTTGGTGAGTGCAAGGTCCTGAGTTGGATTCCCCCATCTCACCCCCCCAAAAAAGAAAATTCATAGAAATGTCCTTTGAAAACAGACATGTAAGTCTGTATCACCCATTTTAGGGGGTTATGGGTGCTCGAGCCAGATTTGGTTAATGACAGGTGTAATAATGAAGATAGGAAATTGAAGTGACCCTTGAGAAGTTTGGCTATGAAGAGAAAGGAGCAAATTAACTAGCAATTAGGAATCTTAAGGAACTAGGATTCACTTGTTTTTAATTTAACATGAGTGAGACTTACGTTCATTTGGTTTTTTGTTTTGTTTTGTTTTTTGAGACAGTCTCACTATGTAGTTGAGACTGACTAGAAACTTAGCATGTAGCCCAGGCTGGTCTCGAACTCACAGCGATCCTCCTGCCTCAGCCTCCTAAGTGCTAGGATTACAGGCATGCACCACCATGCCCGGCTATTTTTGTTCATTTGAAAGGAGCTCTAATACAAAGTTTTAAGTTACAGGAACAAAGATATGATAGAATGAGGGCACTACTGTGTGTTATAAAAAGTGAGCTCTGTCACACTTTGTATTAATTTGGGCAAGTTAGTTAAAAGCAGCAGACCCTCAATATCCTCTTTTACAAATATATTTTCTTTGGTTATTATGAAAATCCTCTACTGAATTTAAAAGTAATATTTCTCAGTTCTAATGATGGATTATCCACCCTAAAATTACTCAGTTCTCCTTAGCACATGTAGTGTTATTTCTTTTTGACCCTGATAGAACTTTTTTACTTTTAGGTGCTCCCCTGGAAAAGGTTATCGATTGCCAACAAGTGCCTTGGTGAACCTTTCTCACAGAAGTCGCTCTGAAACTGGAAATCGAAAGTTGACAGCCATTGTGAAACCACAACTAGCTGTGAATCAACATAGCTCAAATTTATTAGTTTCTCCTGGGCATCTTGGAGGCCTCAGCCATTCCTCTCAGTCACTTTTTGTTCCTACTCAAGTAAGTGTCTCAGTCTTGTGACTGTGTGTGTGTGTATTAGTAGGGATCCACCCAGGCACTCAGACATGCCAGGCAGGTGCTCTGCCACTGAGCCACATCCTCAAAAGTCTTCAATTTCTCTCCCCAACTTTTTTTTTTTTTAAACAGGGATCATTATTTAGCCCAGGCTGTCCTCAAACTTATGATCCTCCCACCTCAGCTTCCCAGAGTCCTTGGATTTCAGGTGTATGCCACCACACCAGCTATTCTGGCCCCTTTTTTTTTTTTTTTTTTTTTTTTATTTTTTAATGCATAGAATCAAACCCAGGGCCTCACATTTTCCAGGCAGGTTCTGCACTGCTGAGCTATATCTCTAGCCCTCTGCCTTCTCTTTATAAATTGCAATTAATAGCAAACTTTCTACATGGAAACCTAATTTAATTTCACTGGTTTGATTCACATCAATTTCCGATTTGTTTTAAGATACCAGGCTAGTTGGGCATGGTTGCACAAGACTCTAATCCCAGCCGTGAGGGAGACTAAGGCAAGAGGATCACAAGTTGGAGCCTAGCCTGAGCAATTTACCCACTCAGCAAGACCCTATTGCAAAATAAAAAAATTTTAAAAGAGGCTGGGAAAGTAGCTCAGTGCAAAAAGGCATTGGGTTCAATTTAAGTAGCAAGTCTGAGAATGTCCATGTTTTTTTTCTCTTTATATATTACTTTTCAAATTCTATATTATTCTTTTCAAATTAACATGTAAATGTTTTACAAAATCTAAATACTCTGTTCTTTCTGCTATAAGTGATGTAATTCATTTTATTAAATTTATTTTCATTAGTACATTTTTTGCATTATATAATGATGACATTCATCTTGGGGAGTCGGTACATGTCATATAGCACATCTTAATTCTTTGTAGGCCGGGCATGGTGGTACACTCCTGTAATCCCAGCCCTTGGCCGACTGAGGCAAGAAGATTGCAGTGAGTTCAAGGCCAGACTGAACTACATAGTGAAACCCTGTCTCAAAAAATAACAAAAATTAATTCTAGGGCGGGGATTTAGCTCAGTGGTTCTGCCACCAGCCTCCTAAGCACAAGGACCTGAGTTTGATCCACAGTACCAAAAAAAAACAAAATAATTCTATTTATTTCCCCTTCCCCTTCCTCCATCTACAAATGATATAAATTTGAAAGGTAAATGACAGATCACATTGATGAGAAATTCTCATTATGTGGATGATTTTCTTCATCTTTCTAAGCAAAAAAATTGAATTATCTTTTTGGGTCACTTAACTTTATTTAACTAAGCTTTATTAACTTTAGTTAATTTCATGGCCCCACATCTTAGGTTTAACTACATTTCTTAACCTTTACAATATATGCTTATTATAGACTCTTTGGAAAATACAAATAATTAGATGATGAAAAACAAAACACAAGCAAAATATCCTCTCCAAATATATATATATATGCTTACTCTTTGGAAAATACAAATAATTAGATGATGAAAAACAAAACACAAGCAAAATATCCTCTCCAATATCATAGGTAACCACTGTTAAATTTTTTGTGTCTTTCTCCAGAGTTTTAATCTATATTAAATTAATTTCCTGTAAGTAGTAGCCAAATTTTAAATCTATTAGATTACTTATGTAAAGATGAAGACTTTTAAAATAAAATCTTTAGCATTAGTTTGTATGACATAATATATTAGTACGGTATATTAGAAGAAAAGTGTCTGTTGGTGGGGATAGTTTTTGCTATGCCTTATTTTTCAGTTAAACCATTCGAAACCGTTTTCATATAAAGACAAGTTTCTTTCCAGTAGAGAATACTTTTGTAATTTCCATGCTAAGCTCTTCAAAGAATGAACTGAGGGACTTTAAATAATGAAAGTTTAACATCCTGTCTACCACTGAGTAACTTTAATCAATAATTATTTTAATTTTCAAAAGAATATTTTCTCATTTTTTATTTCCTTAAGAAATTGTTTGTGCTCTGCTAGGTACCTACTAAAGCTGATGATGAATTTTGCAACATTTGGCAATCCTTACAAGGGTCCAGAAAAATTCAGCACTTTCAGCCATCTATACAAGAGAAGGTTAGTATTCTTTGACAGTTCAAAGAAAAAAAATTTTTTTAATGTCTGCAATGATTGATTTCCCCTTGAAATCTCATAAAATTGTAAATGCAGTTTTGGTTAGGAATTTTCATGACTCTTATATATTTAATAGTTTTTGGACCTGTGAGTAAGAGTATAATTTTTCTTTTAAATCAGTTTTGGCATTATTTTTAGTTGTTTACAAGATTGTAACTAGATTTTAAACTCAACAAGATCCTTAATGCCATTAATTAACTGGAGTGTTTTTCTACTGGAGTATAGTATAATCTAATGCTGACAATTGGTTTTCCTAAATATGAATGAGCAAATTTATATTCCTTCATAAAGATTAAGAAGAGGAAAGAAGGATAGAGGTGTAGCTCTTTGGAAGAAAGCTTGCTTAGCATGCGTGGGTCCCCGGGTTTAATTCCCAGCGCTGTAAAACAAAACAAAAAGAAAGAAATGCTGCTAAAAGAATAGAAACTCAGACAATGAAATGAAGAGGAAAAAGAAAGAATCCCTACTAAATTTTTTTGAGTTACTGACCTACCTGGTTAGTCATGTCAAAAGTAATGCTGTATTAATTTTAGAAAGCAGCAGCCTGAGACATTGCAGATTCATCTAATTTAGTGTCTGGATAATGGTGGCATTATCAGAGCTGGAGAGGAAAATATTCCAGATGAAATGATGGTAATCATACAAAGTGACTGTGGGGCTGGGGCTTAGCTCAGTGACAGACCAGTTGTGTAGCATTCAGGAAGTTCACTTCCAGAACAATAACAACAAAAAAGATGAAAACAGAATTAACCCCAAGGTTTAGTAAGTGAAGATCATTGGGAACCTTGGGATCACCCGTTTTAGTAAATTGATGGAAGTGAAAGACTGATTCGAATGGGATTAAGAGAAGAAAAATGGGAGGAAGAAAGTATAGATAGTTCTTTTGACGGGTTTTACTCTGAAAGGAAACATTAGTCAGCTGTACATGGCAGATGCGTATAGTACCTGCTTTTCCCACCTATTCAGGAGGCTGAGACAGGAGGATCCTTTAGCCAAGGAGTTCAGGGTTGGCAGGGTAACATAGTGAAGCCCAGGCTCTTAAATCAGTGAATAAATGGACTGGGGATTTAGGTCAATGGTTCCACTGCCTGCCCCACAAGCACAAGGTCCTGAATTTGATCCCCGGTACCAAAAAAAAAAAGAAAAAAAAATCAGTGAATAAAGGAAAGAAAGAAAGAAAAAAGAATGAATGGCAACCGTATCTTGAATCCTTTCTTGACTGTACCTATTTATGGTCAACTTCTTTATTAACTCCTGCTCTCCCAACCTTTCACTAGGAACTATTCCCCCAAACTCAACAACAGTTTTCTTTTCCCTTTTGCATAATTATTTAAATAATAACTTTGACCCTTATTTCTCTGCTCAGTATTGCTAATCTGTTATCTCTAGTTTCAACTTCTCAATCCAGGCTTAATCTAGTTTTCCCTAATCTGTATCTTTGGTTATGAACTCTCAATTCAGGGTTTTTAGTTCTCAAGAGAACTAGTATAGCTGGATAATAACCTCATCCTCAAGATGCCCCAAAATTAACGTCACTCACATAAAGCCTCTTCTACTATCCTATTTCTAATACCACCATGTCCCCAGATATAAAATCTAAAGAATTTAGAATCAAACACTTTTTCTTGACCATAAATTATAATGGACAAGTTGTCTTCTGGGTCTGAACTCTGTTTATACTCTGAAATGGTGTGGTGTGATAAATGTGGTGTTGGACACAGAACTGAGAGATCAGGTTTCATGACTCAAGTTGAGCAAATCTCTTTCCCTGGGCCACTGGGATCACATATAATGAAGACCTTGAATATACATGACCGCACAGGTCTTTTCTAGCCCTAAAAATGTGGTGTTCTATTATTTTGCAATATATAGGACTCCTTGTTTAAGAACATTAGATTCTAACCTCAAATTCCTCAAGCTGATGTGTAAGTGCTTCTCTAATATATAACCGTATCAAATTCATACAAAATGTCCAACTACTTGATAGGATGGCCTATTTCAGTCAGTTTGGTCACTTTCCCTTTGCCATAGATAATTTCTCAGTTTAGATTATGTTCTTTCTGTTCCTTCCACTTAGAATAACCTTTCTTCTTCACTACTAAAATCCCCCTAGGTCTCAGTCAAGATCTGCTAGTTTCTTAAGAACTGCTTGATAAGAGGTTTTTTTTTATCATCTCCTCCATGCAATTCCTATTATTGGATACTATTTTCAGTATTTATTTTAGCTCAAGACTCCCATGTTTTATCTCTAAGTTCCAAGAATTCTGAGCCACCAGATAAAATACAAATTTTGTGTGTGTGTGTGTGTGTGTGTGTGTGTGTGTGCTGGGATTCAAACCCATGACCTCACACATGCTAGGTAAGCTCTCTACCACTGCACTACATTATTGTTTTTAATTTGGTTTTAGGACAGGGTCTTACTAAATTGCCCAGGTTAGTCTAGAACTTGGAATTGTCCTCCCTTAGTCCCCTGAATAGCTGGGATTACAGGCATCCACCACCACTCCCTACTAAAATAGACTTTAAGATAAATGTTGTTACTAGAGGCAAAGAAAGAACTTTTATGAATCTATACTTTAGGAAAAAATGGCACTAAGACTTATATGTACACCTAACAAAAGAGTTCCAAAATACATAAAGTAAAGCCGGGCATTTGGCTCAGTGGTTCCACCACCTGCCTAACAAGCTCAAGGGCCAGAGTTTGATCCCCAGTACAAAAAACAAAACAAAACACAAAATACATAAAGCAAAAACTGACAGAAATTGAAGGAAAAAAATATATAATTCAACAGTAATGATTAAAGACTTTAATATCCCACTTTTAATAATGGAGTAAAGCAACTGTACAGAAAGACAATAAGGATACAGAGGATTTATCTGACACAGACTGCTTTATATTGATATTATATAGAACAACCCAAAATAGGGGAGAAAAGAAGGCAAAGGGGAAAAAAAGGGAATAGAAGGGGAAAAATGGAAACAAAGCTTTTATAAATAAGGGGAAGAGCGGTATAAGGGGGTGTGGGGAAAAAAGCAAGATATATTGTGTACAGGTTCAAATTCCTTAGGATGAATGTTATTATGTAAATCTTAAATGTACCAATAAAGATTTTGCTTCAAGCCGAGTATGGTGGTATAATCCCAGTACTTGGGAGGCTGAGGCAGGAGGATTGCTGTGAGTTCAAGACCACCCTGGGCTACATAGTGAGTTCCAGGTCAGTCTCAACTACATAATGAGACCCTGTCTCAAATAAACAAAACAAAACACACACACACACACACACACACAATAGAATAACCTGCAGGACTATATTTAAAACTACAATATTTGCTCTTTATTTAAACTGATGGTACAACTTTTCTCTGATGTGATACTATGAGCAGGGGTTTTAAAGGTCAAATGTCAGTAATTAGTCTGTGACCAAATTACTTTATCACTTTGAACATCAGTTTTTTCACCCATAAAATGGAATTAAAATGCACCATTATTATGATGTAACAATTATTGCTATGATACTGAGATAATGAAAGCAAAATACATCTTACCATATCTGGTACATAATAGACTTTTTTCCTGTGGTACTGAGGAATGAACTCAGGACCATGCACTTGCTGGGCAGACATGGCGCCACTGAGCTACATCCCCAGCCCAATAATAGACATAATTTTTTTTTGCCCATCTATTATCTTTATGCTCTCATTCTCCTCCGTAGCGTCAAAAGTCCCCCCGCCCACACACACTATTCTGCTGTAGCACTAAACCCCACCAGCCAGTTGTGCGTGGTAGAATTTTCATGCCATTTTAATTGTAAGGGCTGAAAGGGCCTGGGTATGCACATCCTCATTGGCTCTTTCTCTGCACTTCATTGCATATCACAACCATTTTGAAGCATGTCCAGTTTTAGTTGGGGTTTAATGTATCTTTGTACCGAGTGTTAATTTGTGCTTAGAAGAAAATAAGTAGGGGCTGCCAAAAGCAAAACTGTGAAATAGTTACTTTATAGTGAAGGTCTCTAGCCTCCACTTCTCTTTCCGCTTCAGCTGTGGCAAATTGCCTGTTTCTTTTTGCCTTCAGCTTTTTCTTCCTCCCCTCCTCCGAAAATATGTATATGATTAAATCTTTAGATTTATATGAAACTTGCTCATGTCATTTTGCTAATTCTGTACAATTATGAACTGTCTTAATTACTTTAATCATGTTATTTATTTATTTTATCATTAGTCGGTTTCTGTTAGTGAAATCATCCATTTTTGACAATATAACAATATGTAATTTTTTAAATTATAAAAATTTTTAAAAAGCATTCAAGGAATATAAATGGACAACTATCCTCAATTTTTATGAAATACAGTCAGAAATGTTACTTTTTAAAAAAATGTTTTAAATGGAAAAATTTAAACACAATAAAGTCAAAAGAACCCACAGGTTCACCCACCCCAGCTTACTCATGTGCAGCCCTATTTCTTCTATAATTCCTTCTCACTTCCTGCCCCCACCTACCCTAGAGGCAGGATTACAGTATTTTGAAGCAAGCCTAAAGCCTGTAATCCCGGCAGAGTGAGGCAGGAGGATTGCCACAAGTTCAAGGCCAGCCTGGGCTCCATAATGAGTTCAAGGCCAGCCTGAACTACAGAGCAAAACCTTGCTCCAAAAAAAAAAAAAAAAAAAAGTCTGGAGAGACCTGTAGACACTGATTTTCCTGCTTTGAAGAAACATTTACCAAAAATTTAGTAATTTATTGAGCGGGAGATTTAGCTCAGTAACATTGCATCTGCCTCACAAGCACTAGGTCCTGAATTTGATCCCCAGTACCACACACACACAAATAGTATTTTCTTGAGGATTTTTTTCAGCATTTGTTAACTTCGAGCAAACTTAGATTTAATTTCTTCTATTGAAGGAGTTAAGTTGATAAAAAATTTTCTATTGAAAATGGCATTTTTTGAAAATGATTCTTTTTAATTTATTTGCTGTCAAATGAATGCATAGAAAAATGTCTAGAGTGATGGTCATTATATTAATGATTGTTATTTCTGGTGGTGGGTTTGGGGTAGTTTTTAAAATTCTATATATTTTTCTGTATTGATTTTCTAATAAGGTTTATAATTTTTATTTTTAAAGTAATTATGAAAAGTTGAAGAAGGGCCGGGAATTTAGCTCAGTGTTTCCGCCACCTGCCTCGCAAGTGCACGGACCCGAGTTCTATCTCTGGTACCCCCCCAAAGAAAAGTTAAAGAAAATAAATATCTATAACATTAAGATTTTGTTTAACTGATTTGTAAGAATTTTAACTTTCAGGGTGCAGTTCTACCTCAAGAAATAAGTCAAGTAATTCAACAGCATAATTTTGGCTTTCATGACAACAGTGTTAAGTATCAGCAAAGAAAACATGACCCTCACAGAAAATGTAAGTTTTAAGTTAGAAAGGTGTACTTGTATACTATTTGTGTCCTTAAAAAAATAATAAACACCTCTATTGAAATATAATTTACATACCAAAAAGTAAATTTATATTTTTTTCATGTTCACACATTGGTTCTTTTTTTGGGGGGTGTGGTTAGATAGAGTCTCACTGTGTAGATGAGACTGATCTGGAACTCATTATGTAGCCCAGGCTGGTCTCGAACTCACAGTGATCCTCCTGCCTCAGCCTCCCGAGTGCTGGGATTACAGGTGTGCACTACCACACCAAGCACATGTTGGTTCTTTATTTTATTTTAGTTTTTTAAGTTGACATAATTTTCTTTGGGATCACTTTTTTTAAATAAATTTTATTTTATTTTATACCATTCCCTCCCTCAAGCCTTCTCTCCTCCCTATATACAGAAGCTTTGTTTCCATTTTTCCTTCTATTTACACTTTTTTTCTTGTCTTTCCTTCCTTTCTCCCTCCCTTCTCCCTTGTTGCCCTTCCCATTTAAACTCTTTCTTCCCATTTCCCAGTATCCATTACACATTCAATCCATATTTCCGCTTTCACACCAGAGAAACCATGCGGTATTTTAACATTTGTGCCCAATTTATTTCACTTACAAGTATGGTCTCAAGGCCCAGACATTAGATGGACCTTGAGACCATACTCTTAAGTAAAGTAGACAATTAAACCTGGGCAGGGTGGGTGGCCTACACTTGTAATCCCACCACTCAAGAGGTTGAGGCAGTATTGCCAAGAGTTCTACATCAACCTGAGCTACACAGTGAATTCAAGACCAGCCTGAACTATCTCAAAAGTATATGATCAGTGTTCTTTTGGTATTTTCACAAATCCATTTTCATCATCCAGAAAAGAAATACCCTGCCCATTAGCATCACTCTTCTAGCCCCTAGCAACCCCTAATTTTCTTTGTCTCTAGAGTTAGATATTTACCTATTCTGGGCATTTCATATGAGTAGAATCAGAAACTGTATGATCTTCTGTGGCTGTCTTCATTTCACATATTTTTAAGGTTTATTCATGTTACATGTATACATAAGTACTTCATTTTTATGCTGAATATACTCCACTGTATGAATACCACATTTTATTTATCCATCACTACAAAGAATAATGCTGCCATGAATATCTGTACATCATTTGTGAGAACATATATTTGCATTTCTCCTGAGTACATGTTTATGAGTTCAATTACTGAGTCATATTGTGTCTCCATGTTTAACTTTTATGAAATTACCAGACTGTTTCCAAAAATAGCTGCACTATATTAGCAATGTGCAGTGTGTTTTCCTTCTTAGGTTTCTACTCAGATTTCTTTCTACATGAGTCAGTTTAAATAGTTTACATCTTTATACAAATTTCTTCATTTCCTCTAGGTTAGCTAAGTTATTAGTATATAATGTCCATAATATTTCCTTGTAATCCTTTTTTATTTCTCTAAGGTTGGTAATAATATCCCCACTTTCACTTCTAATTCTAATTATTTCCAGCTTCTGTGCTTTTTCTTTTGTTAGTCTAGCTAAAAATTTGTCAGTTTTGTTCTTCATATGAGACCACTTTCTAGCCAGGTGCAGTGGCACATACCTGTAGTCATAGCTACTTGGGAGACTAAGAGGTAGATCATTTTAGTCCAGGAGTTTGAGACCAGCCTGGGCAACACAGCGAAATCCCATCTAAAAAAAATCTGGTTTCATTAATTCTCTCAATTGTTTTTCCACTATTTCATTTATTTCCACTGTAATATTTACCATTTCCTTCTTTCTTCCTTTGGATTTAGTGTATACTTTTTTCTAGTTCCTTAATGTAGAAGATTGGGTTACTGATTTGAATGCTTTTTCTTTTTTAAATTGTTTTTATTGGTACATTTTAAATATACATAATGATGGCATTCATAATAGGGAATGTGTACCTGTGCACAGTATATCTTGCTTCTTTTTTTTCCCCATTCCCCTCCCCCCTTCAACCCCCTCTCTTTTCTTAATATAAGTGTTTACAGCTATAAATTTTTGTTTGTTTGTTTTTTGTTTTTTGTTTTGTACTAGAGATTGAATTTGAGACCTTGCGCTTGCCAGACAGGTGGTGGCACCACTGAGCTAAACCCCCAACCCTAAATTTTCTTCACACAGAATTAGCTGCATCACATAAATTTTGGTGTGTTAGTTGTGTTGTGTTGTTTTGTTTTGTTTTGTTTTTTGAGACTGGGTCTTCCCATATAATTCAGGCTGGCTTTGAACTCACTATGTAGCCCGTGCTAGCCTTGAACTCACAGCACGGCGATCCTCCTGTCTCAGTCTCCCAAGTGCTGAGATTGTAAGGCATGTGCCACCACTCCTGGCTAGTATGTCGTATTTTCATCCTGTTCAAAATTCTTCTAATTTTCCAGTGACTTCTTTAACCCATGCTTTATTTAAATGTTTTGTTTGTTTGTTTGAGAAAAGGTCTCTCTTAGTTCACACTGACCTATGCTTTTTTTAGGAATGTATTTTAAGATTTCCATCTATTTGTGAACTCCAAAATAAAACTCTATTTTATTCCTTTGTGGTCTGAAAACATACTTTGTATGACTTGAATCCTTTTAACTTTATTGAGGCTCGTTTATGGCCTAGTATATGGTCTGTCCTGAAGAATTTTCCATGCTTGAGAAGAATGTGTATTGTATTGTTATTGAGACATCTCTTAGACTCCTTGTTAGTTATAGTGTTGTTTAAATTTTGTGTCTTTGTTGATTTTTTTTTGTCTAGTTATTGTATCTATTTCTGAAAGTAAATTATCTTACTAAAACACAATTGTAGTCAGATGAGTACCTAGTGAAACTTTATTGTAATTGCTTGCCTACCCTTGCCTATTCCATATCTTAACTATCTTTCAGAGTATGACTCCAGCCTGCTTCATTCGTTCTGTTAGGTACCGTTATATCCCTTAATTGCCAGCGAAAGTAGTCTCTTCAGCATTGCAGAAACAGTCTTTGCTTTCTGTTTTAATTCTTTTCCTCCCACTATTAGCCTCCTCTTCTGCCCTTACATCCTCCTAGGCCCAGTTCAGATACCACTTTCCTTCCTTTATTACTAACTGCAAGTATCTCTTCTCCCCCTCACCTAGATAATAAATTCCTTAAGATTAGAAATTATGTCTTCTTGGAATTCTCTTAATCTTTCATATAGTGCCTTCCTATAGCAAATATTTGGGAAATATAGTTGTGCAATAAGTACTTTCATTCACCAAAATTTCTGTTTTCTTGTGTCTAGTTAAAGAAGAGTGTAAGAGTCCTAAAGCTGAGTGTCGGTCACAAAAAATGTCCAGTAAGCAGGTAAGCTTACTTTCTTAAAGTCAAATTTCCAATAGCCAACTTTTTTATTCAGGTGGTAGCTCTATCATCTGACTAAATTTTGCAAACTTTGCAAACAAATCTATAAGGCGTATGGCAAGAAGGTTCATGAAGCACAAGCTGATAGCCACTTGGATGGAACTATCCAAGCTGGAGTCCAGAATTTGGAAATATGTGTATCTGAAATCCTGATTTTGCTATTTAATAGTTGGGTAGGCTTAAGCAATCCTTCTCCTCTCACAGCCTAAATTTCTTCTTCTTTAAAATGGAGGTAAAACTATTGATCACTTGTAGTATCTCTGAATATATAGATGCATATACATATATATAAAATATGAGAATATATCTGCTTACAATAATAGTATAAAGAACAGTGTAGCTGACTTAACAGACTATATACCAGTGATGGCAGATGTTTTAGTTTTTGATGATTCAGACAGTCCACTGTGGTGCATGTGTCATAGGTTCACCACCACTGCTGTATGTATTCTGTGGAATTAGATTGGTATGGGAGAATCTGAGGTCACTTACATTTTACTTTTTATAGTCTCTGATAATTTTTTAATCAAAGAATTAGACATATATTTATGATAAGTGCACTTTTCTATATGCCTGTTATATTGTGACACTTTTCTGTGCGGTACTGGGGAGTAAACCCCACAGAGCCTTCACCCTTTTTAAATTTTTATTTTTAGGCAGGGTCTTTGCTAAATTGCTAAACTGCCTAAGCTGGGCTCAAACTTGAAATCCTGCTGCCTCAGCTCCCCCAGAGTGCTGGGATTACAGGTGTGCACCACTATGCCCAGCATTCACATATGTATTTGGGGTGCGGTGGGGCTTTTTTTTGTTGTTGGTGGTGGTGGTTTTTTGTTTTTGAGATGATGTCTCACTATATAGCCCAAGCTGTCCTTGAATTTTCAGTGATCCTCCAGTCTCAGTCTCCTGAGTGCTGCTGGGATTACAAGCGTGCCACCACCATGCCTGGTACTACCTATTTTTAAAAATGATTTCTTGAGCTGGAGATATAACTCACTGGTACAGCATTGGCCTAGCATTTGTAAGGGTCTGCATCCAATTCCAAATTCTGCAAAACTTTTTTTAAAAAGTTTTTAAATTCTTAGAACCCATTAATGGAATCCATTAGCATGTAAATACCAATAGTTTAACTGCTTGACTTTTAATGTTTTCTCCATTTGAAACTTAAGCTGTAATTTCCTTCTGTAAAAGGGATTGATAATTTTTGTGCAGTAACATCTTCAGTAAAGCATTTAGACTTAGTGAAGCTATTATTCTCAAGATAATATTTTAAATGCTAAAATAAAATATATAAGACTTGAAAGAAAACCACTTACACTGGAATACAGTAAGAATTACTGCTATTCGTTTTGGGCTGCTGGAAAAAAGTAACAGACTGAGTGGCAAATCATAGATATTTCCTCACAATTCTGAGGGAGTTTTGATTTGGGTGAGGTTTTTTCTTGTTTTTTTATTGTTTGGAGGGGGTTGTTTATTGATTTGTTTTTTGCTTTGTTTTGTTTTGAGACAGAGTCTCACTATGTGCTTCAGGCTGCCCTTAAACTCATTTTATAGCCCAGGCTAATCTCAACTCCCTATAAATTTGCTGCCTCAGTCTCCCGAGTGCCAGGATAACAGACCTATATTGCCATACTTGGCTTCCTTATAATTCTGGAGGCGGAGAAGTCCACGATGAAGGCACTAGCAGGGTAATATTTTTAATGCTAAAATAAAATGTGTAGCCAGGTGTAGTGGTGCATACCTATAATTGCAACTCTTGGGAGGCTAAGGCAAGAGGATCACTGTGAGCTTGAGGCCAGCCTGGGCTACACAGTGAGTTCAAGCCCAGCCTGAACTACATAGTGAGACCCTGTCACAAAAAGTAAAATAAAATAAGTAGGATTTGAAAAAAAAACACAGCTGTATTGAAATATATTTGGAATCTGATGAAGCCTCTGGTACCGGCTTGCATGTGGTCCTTCTTAAATTCTAACACAGTATTTAGAAAGCACTCTATTCTTCTTCTTCTAAGGATACTAATCCCATCCTGGGGGTCCCACTATCATGACCTCATCTAAATGAAATTATGTCCAAACGGCCTCACCTCCTAAAACCATCCATTGGGGTCTAGAGTTCGTTCCAACACAGAAATTTGAGAGGGCGGACACTAACATGTCAGTGTTTTATTGCCTGTGTTCAGAATTGAAGGATATGCTAAATCTCATTTAGAGGTAATGAAAATAGATACAATTTTTCACAATCCAAGTTTATATGATGGAAAAGGAAAAGAAGTGCATAAAACATTTTCCACCAGTTTATTTTGAATACTACTAAATAGTAATTATGAATTTATTTACACAGAAAGTTCATTCTTACGTTTTTATAGGCTTTTAGAGGGTCTGCCAAATGTAATATTAAGTTACTGAAGAGAAATGAAAGTCCAGAAGTCTCAGAAATCGAAAAGGCTGTGACTGGCTACCCAAATGCTTTTGATAAGGTAAAAAGATCCTTTACTTTCTCTTTGCTGACTTTAACACCTGGGAAGGTGATATAATGAAAACTGAATTAGCATCTTTAAGCGTAAAACTCTTTGCTTTTTCCTGTATGTTTATACATTCATTCATCTTCTTGCACAAACATTTACATTTTAGCCTAACTCTGGAATTGAGAACTTCTTAGCATCCTTGAATATCTCTAAAGAAAATGAATTACCATCATCTCATCACAGAGAGCCCCCAAATGAAGAGCATTTGTCACCACAGTCATTTGCTATGGTTCGTATACTTTAAGAACTTTTGCACTATGGTGATTCTTTACTTTTGACCACGTATACATGTCCCATGCAGCTGTTCAGTTCTCCCTTATGTAGGCTGGTGTGTTGCGTTACTATGGTCTTGCTAGAGGAAAACCGGGCTGCCTTGGGCAATTTAGCCATCTCTTTTGTTTTTCTCATATTAAACTAGGGGTGGTGTACAGAGGCATACAGAGCCCTCTCTGTTGACATGAGACTCAGGTCCCCCACAGCATCACCCCAGCCGCTGACCATCAGTTTAGTTGTGGTGTTGGCACTTTGCAATAAATGAATGGGTTCTAGGTTGCAGTTTGGGCACTTGGTCTCTAAAGTTTGCCATTACTGCCTTAGACCATAGTTTCCCTGCTTCATAAACATTGCTACTAAGTAAGTAGGCTAGAAGTTAAACAAAGGATAAATATTGTTTCTTTATCCAGTCATATGGATTTTTTTCACTGTTAACTATTGTTTTGCCTTACTCTCTATACAAATATAGCTAACATTTTATATAACAATGGACCTTTGAAAAGAAAGATCAAGTGCTAAAGATGTAGCTCAGTGGAAAGGCATTTGCCTACCATGGACAGGGTCCTGGTTTCAATCCCCAATAAGGCAAAAATGAAAAATACCAAAGTGTCAAAAATATAAGCTATATAAATCTAATGTTTACTTTCCTCTCCCCACCCCCATCATCCCCATATGACTAATGCACAAAAAAGAAGGGGACACAGATGCTTAAAGAAATTCTAAAAATTGATAGTTCTGACACTGTGGATCCTAAGAATGAAATGAAACGATATGGAAATGAAGTTACTGTTTCTTCTAATAGAAGAGATGAATATGGACTATCCTCACAGCCTAAACAAAAAAAGAAATTAGGTAAGTAAACTGAGTACAGTTACTAATAATGAATATCATTTCAAAAAATAAGGTCCAGCCAGGCATGGTGGCACACACCTATAATCCCAGCACTCAGGAGACTGAGGCAGGAGGGTTGCTGTGATTTCAAGACCAGCCTGGGCTACATAGTGAGTTCCAGGTCAGTCAGTCTCAACTACATAGTGAGAACTCTGTCTCAAAAAAAAAAAAAAACAATAGGGCCGGGGATTTAGCTCAGCGGTTCCATGGCCTGCCTTGAAAGTGCAAGGACCCAAGTTCGATCCCTGGTACCAAAAAAACAAACAAAAAAATTAAGTTAATTTGGTTCTTTTTATCATGTGATCTTTAAACATAAAAAAATATTTTTTAAACAAAGAGTCTTACTGTGTAGTCCAGGATGGCTTTGAACTCACTGTGTAGCCCAGCCTAGCCTCGAATGCATGGCGATCCTCCTGCCTCAGCCTCCCAAGTGCTAGAATTACAGGCATGCACTAGCATGCCCGGCAAACTTTTTTATTTTTGAGTATCATTTTTTACTTGTGTCATTCATATAGTAATATAGCTTTGTAGCCAAAATATCTGCAGTCCTTAAATTTTTTTGTGACCACTTGTATTGTTCTATTTTAAAAATTCATTCTAGGGGCTGGGCATTTAGCTCAGTGGTTCGGTGGCCTGCCCTGCAAGTGCAAGGATCCGAGTTCAATCCCTGGTACCAAAACAAAAAATGCATTCTAGTGGAGCGTAGTGGGCATGCCTATAATCCCAACACTCAGAAGGCTGAGGCAGGATGATTGCTGTGTGTTTGAGACAAGCCTGGGCTATGTACTGAGTTCCAGGTCAGTGTCAACTACATAGTGAAATTCCGTCTCAAAAAAACCAAAAAAAAAAAAAAATCATTCTTGGGCCAGCGATTTAGCTCAGTGGTGCTGCCTCCTGCCTTGCAAGTGCAAGGTCCTGAGTTTGATCCCTGGTACCAAAAAAATAATAATAAAAATTCACTGTGAGCCAGGTGTGGTGACACATGCTTGTACTACCAGCATTCAGGAGGCTGAAGAAAGAGCATCCCTGTGAATGCTAGGAACGTTTGAGATACATAGTAAGTTCAAGGCCAACCTGTCTCAAAAAAAAAAGAGAAAAGAAAAGAAAATAATTCTGTAGATAGCCAAACCTTAAGAGGTTTTCACATTCTAGTCTTTCCTCTCAGTAATTTATATATGATTTTTGTTTGTGTGATTTTTGTTTTGTTTTGGTTTGGTTTGGTTTTGGTACTGCGGATCAAACTCAGGACCTTGCACTTGCAAGGCAGGCAGCAGGACCACTGAACTAAGTCCCTGGCCCCATTTGTTTGATGTGTGTGTGTGTGTGTGTGTGTGTGTGTGTGTGTGTGTGTGTGTGTGTGTGGTACCAGAGATAACAAAATATTATCTTTATTGAGAAGTTGAAAACTGGAAAAAGGCTACTTGAAATAACTGTTCCAAGTAGCATTATTTAAGATGTCTTTCAGCCTCCAGAGTCAAACAGTACCTCTGGTATTAGAGAAGCCAATACGTAGCAGGGCTCCCTTACTTAGACCTGGGGTCTTATTTTATAGATTTTTTAAAGTTTTCGTCTTCTCAGCTTTGAGTATGTTGCCTAGAGACTCAGTAACTACCAAGTTTGGGGTTTGGGGGAGAAATGTGACTAGATAGTTTGTTAGCTTTTCAATTAAAGATGACACTTTTTTAAAAAATTATATAACATGTACAAATCCATTACCATTTTCTGACACATCATAGGTGCTACTTAATTGATATGAATATTATGTTAAAATAATTTGACCAGTATAAATATAGAAAAAGCTATAAAATCATTTAAAATTCTTAATGATGGAAGACATTGGAAATAATGGATAATTATTTTACTTAGGAAGGCAGTAGCATAACATAGTACATAACCACATTTTAGTGAATATCCATCTTTGCCTCTATCCCCTATATTCCTTACACTTTACTAACTCAAACAAATGTGAACAGAAGTTTCTTTAGGAAATAAGAAAACGAGGTCAAGGGGTTAGCTCAGTGGTGCCACTGCCTGCCTCTCAAGCGTGCGGTCCTGAGTTCAATCCCCAACACCAAAAAAAAAGAAATGAGAAAGCATTTTAAATAATCAGACTCAATTCATTAAGGTTCTCTAAAACAAAAGTAGAGCTGATTTCCATTTATACTCCATTCTATGTTGGTTAAAAAAAAATCAATTAACTAAAATTTTCAACAAGTATTAGGAAATTAACTATTTGTCATAGTGACAGATACACTCATGAAATAGAGCAAAGTAAAATAAGTTTCACTTAATTTCATATAAATGAAGCAAAACATAAAGACCTTAGTGTCAATAGCTCAGAATTCAGCCTCATATTATAGAGCTAGCTGCCACTATGACTTTGGGCAAGCCATTTAACCTCTTTTTTATTTTAATCTATAAAGTTTAGAAATTTAGATAACTTTTTCACTGTGATATGCTTTCTTTCTATTAGTTTGTTGATCATAAAGAATGAACATTCAGAAACTTTAATCATTTTATTTTTAATTATACTTAAAAAGCTTAGTTTCAGTGCTGGGGAGTTAGCTCAGTGGTGCCATCACCTGTCTCGCAAGCACGAGGACCCAAGTTTGCATGCAAATTTATTTTTTAAAAAAGCTTAGTTTCAGAGAGCAAAAGAATTTGACATACAGCTAAGTGAGGCTTATAGGACTCCCAACTAGCCATGATTAAAAAAAAACTACACCTAGACATTTAATAATCAAGATCTCAGAAACCCAACAGAACAACAAAATTCTATAAGCAGCTAGAGAAAAGAAACAAATCACATAAAAAGGAAAGCCCATCAGAATCACAGCAGACTTTTTAACAAACCCTCAAGTCAAGGAGAGCCTGGAGTGATATATTTCAAGCCCTAAAAGAAAAACAACCTCCAACCTAGACTGATATATCCTGCAAAACTATCTTTCAAAATTGATGGGGAAATAAGATACTTCCACAACAAAGAACACCTGAGAAACTTCATGAATACTAAACCAGCACTCTAAGCAATTCTAAACAATATCCTAGAAAAAGACAATGGGGCTCTGTTTTCCATTGTCTGCCTCTCAGGCACAAAGGTCCTGAGTTCAATCCCTGGTACTGAAAAGAAAAAAGAAAAAGACAATGAAGGTCACTACTCCATGAGGGCCAACAGAGCAAAGCCATCAGGCCATGCAAGAAATTAAGGAGGGGGGGAGATAAAAAGTAAAAGAGTCAACAATAGGAAAAAAACATGACAAAGTAAGTCAATACATTATCATTTGTAACCATCAATATTATTGGCCTCAATTCACCAATCAAAAGAAATAGACTGGCAGAATGCATTATGAAGCAATATCCAATAACTGTACAAGAAAAAGAAATTTATAGACTGAAAGTAAAAGGATGGAAAATATTTCTCCATGTGACAGGAACCTGGAAAAAAGCAGGGGTGCTATCTTATTTGCAGACAAAGTAGATTTCAGGCCAAAACTAATTAAGAAAGACAAAGAAAATCACTATATGCTTGTAAAGGGAACAATTCAAGAGGGAGAGATGACAATCATAATGTATGCACCAGACACTAATGCCCCCAACTATATGAAAAAAATTAATGGACACGAAAAACCAAACGATCACTAATATAATTGTAGTGGGGGACCTCAGTACCCCACTATCACAGATCATCTAAACAAAAAATCAACAGTACTAGAACTGAACCAAGCTTTTGAACAAATGGACTTAATAGATGTCTAGAGTGTTCCACCCCACAAAATCATAATATACATTCTTTTCAGCTGCACGTGGATCATTCTCCAAAATAGACCACATGCTAGCTCACAGAACATGTCTGAGTAATAGAAAGGAATTAAAGTTATCGCTTGTATATTATCAGACCATACTACAATTATACTGGAGATCAATAGCATAAGAAAGTGCAAGAACTCCACAAACACATGGAAATTGAGTAACACCCTCCTAAACAACCAATGGGTCACAGAGGAAATTAAAGAACAAAACAGACAGTTTCTACAATTAAATGATAATGCCAGTGCAACATATAGGAGTCTGTGGGACACAATGAAAGCAGTTCTACAAGGGAAATTCATAGCAGTGAATGCCCACACTAGGAAAACAGAACAAGCTCAAACAAACAACCTAATGATGAACCTGAAGCTCCTAGAAAGAGAGCAAGACAAACCTGAAGCTCGTACAAGCGAGGAAATTATAAAGATCAGAGCAGAAATCAATGCTATGGAGACAAAGAACAATTCAAAAAAAAAAATCAATGAATCAATGAGTTGGCTTTTCAAAAGAATAAATCCACAAACCCTTAGCCAGCCTTATTAAAAAAGGAAAGAAAAGGCTCAAATCCATGCAATTAGGAACAGAAAAAATGAAGTCACAACAGATCCAGCCGAAATCCGGAGGATTATCAGTACCTACTTCAAAAACCTGTAATCTAATAAAGTGGAAAACACAGAAGAAATGGACAGATTTCTAGATACATATGAATTACCAAAATTGAATGAAGATATAAAAATTCTAAACACCACTGTTACAATCAGAGAAATTGAAAACATAATTTAAAATATACCAACAAAGAAAAGCCCGGGTACTCGTGGCTTCAGTACTGAATTCTATAAGATATTTAGAGAAGAACTATTACCATTATTCTTTAAACTCTTCAGTGAAATTGAAAGGGAAGCAATACTTCCAAATTCATTCCTGGAAGCAAGTGTTATTTTGATTCCAAAAGCAGAGAAAGACCCAACCAAAAAAAAACAAAAAAAACTACAGGCCAATCTCTAATAAAAATATATTCAAAAATCCTCAGTAAGTTACTGGAAAACAGAATACAGAGAGTCATCAAGAAGATCATACACCCTGACCAAGTCGGATTTATCCCAGGGATGCAAGGATGGTTCGGCATGCATGAATCAATAAATGTAATAAACTATATTAACAGAGTCAAGGACAAAAACCATATGATCATCTCAATAGATGCAGAAAAAGCATTCAACAAAATCTAACACACATTCATGATAAAACCTTAATGAAAATTGGAATAGATGGTCTTTATCTCAACCTGATAAAGGCTTTCTATGAAAAACCAGCAGCCAACGTCATACTAAATGGTCAAAAACTGAAAACCTTCACACTAAAATTAGGAACAAGACAAGGACGTCCACTGTCACCACTTCTGTTCAATATAGTTTTAGAAACAGCCACAGCAATTAGTCAAGAAAAAGAAATGAATAAAAATAGGAAAGGAAGAAATTAAACTCTCATCATTTGCTGACTACATGATACTTTACACAGAAGACCCAAAAAATTCTGGCAAAGACTTGTAGACTTAATTGACAGACTCAGTAGGGTAACAGGATACAAGATTAACAGTCAAAACTACTTATACACAAATAACAGACTCACTGAGAGAGAAATTAGGAAAATAATTCCTTTCACAATAGCATCCAAAAAAATATCTAGGAATCAGTCTAACAAAGGAATTAAAAGACCTCTACATTGAAAACTATAGCACTCTGCAAGAAGAGATCGAAAAGGATATAAGAAAATGAAAAGACATCCCTTGCTCCTGGGCAGGAAGAACCCAGTGAAAATGGCCATACTTCCAAAACTGCTGTGTAGACTCAATCAATCCAGTTTGAGATCCCAACAGTACATTTCACAGAACTAGAGAAAATGATACAAAAATTTATTTGGAACCAGAAGAGACCTAGAATAGTAAAAGCAATTTTAGGCAACAGACATGACAGGGGATATCACAACCCCCAACGTGAAACTATACTACAAAACCACTGTGATAAAAACTGTAGCACTGGCTAAGAAACAGATATGCGGATCAGTGAAATAGATTAGAAGCAGAAACAACTCTAGACATACTCAGCTACCTCACCTTTGACAAAAGAGCCAACCATCCTCACTGGTGGAAAGATAGCTCCTTTAATAAATGGTGTTGGATGCTGGGGATTTAGCGTTGCCACCTGCCTCGCAAGTGCAAGGTCCTGAGTTCAATCCCAGGTACTGCCAAAAGCAAAAAGGTGTTGCAAAAACTAAATTTCAACCTGCCAAAGATTAAAACGTGACCCTTATCTTTTACCATGCACTAAACTAAAATCAAAGTGGATTAAAGATCTAAATATTAAAACAGAAACACTAAACTTGCTGGAAGATAAATTAGGTAGAACTCTTGAAGACATTGGCATAGGAAAAGACTATGAACAAAACCTCAGTAGCACGAGAACTAGCACAAAGACTCAACAACTGGGATCTCATCTTATTTACAAGCCTCTGCACTGCAAGAGAAACCACCAACAAAGCTAAGAGACAACCTACAGTGTGGGAAACATTTTTTATCAGGTATTCCTCAGACAAAGGACTACTATCTAGAATATATAAATAACTTTAAAAATCAGGACCACCCCCAAATATAAAGACCCAATTCAAAAATGAGCATCTGAAATGAACAGAAATTTCTTTTTTTTTTTTTTTTTTTTTTTTTTTTACACAACTCGGGTCCTTGTGCTTGCGAGTCAGGCGCCGGAACTACTGAGCTAAATCCCTAGCCCTGAACAGAAATTTCTCAGACAAGTAAAGGCAGCAAATAAACATATGAAAAAATGTTCAACATCACTGCTCATTTGAGAGATGCAGATGAAAACAACACGCAGATTCCACCTCACCTTAGAAAGAACGGCTGCTATCAAGAAATCAAACAATAATAAATGCTGCCGGGCATACGGGGAGAAAGGAACCTTTCTCCATTGTTGGCAGGAGTGCAGACTGGTGCAACCACTGTGGAAATCAATATGAAATATCTCAAAAGACTAGGATTAGAGGTCCCATTTGGCCTAGCTGTCTTTCCAAAAGAATACAGAGAATCATACCACAGCAATATATGCACACCCATGTTTATAGTGGCACAGTTTGTAATAGCTAAAGCTTAGAAACAGCCCATTTGCCCATCAACTGGAGGCTGGATAAAGAAGATATGTTTTGTTTTGTTTTTTATAAAATGATATACTACTCAGCCATAAAGAACTAGAAACATATACCACTAAATGGGTGCACATTGAGGCCATACTAAATCATTTCTTTGGTATGAGAAACTAAAAGTATAAATAAGGATCAAAATGTAGAATTGATAATGTGAAAATAGGAAGAAAAGGTCTAAATGGGGGAGAGGAAGGGAAAGAAAAAATATGAGAAACAAGGAAAAATGGAAACAAAGTTCTTTGTAAATAGTGAGTGCTAGAGGATTTGAGGGAGGGCAGGGGAATGAGGAAAAAATAAGAACCAAGGGCCGGGCGTGGGTGCTCACACCTGTAATCCCAGCACTCAGGAGGCTGAGGCAGGAGGATCCCTGTGAGTTCGAGACCAGCCTGGGCTACATAGTGAGTTCCAGATCAGTCTCAACTACATAGTGAGACCCTTTCTTGAAAAACCAAAAAAAAAAAAGAAAGAAAAGAACCAAGACACATCATGTAAAGGTACCTAAAGATGAGTATAACTGTATTGTATACCTAAAATGTACCAATAAACTGAATGGAAAAAAAAAAACTTAGTGTCTGAAAAAACTTTTAAGACATATCTTTTTTGGTACCGGGAATCGAAGTAGGGACCTTGTGCTTGCCAGGCAGGCAGCAGCACCACTGAGCTAAATTTTCAGCCTTAAGAAGTATCATTTTAGAGCAACAAAAATATTCACCCCATATATCTCAAAATATAGGATGGAATTACACGAATTAAACTGAAGCCAAAGCCTCAAAATTTAAGGATTAAGGCCAGGGGTTTAGCTCTGTGGTTCTGCTGCCTGCCTCACAAGCGCAAGGACCCGAGTTTGATCCCCGGTACAAAAAAAAAAAAATTAAGGATTAATCATTAATCTGCTCAAGAAAGTTTTGCCTTTTATAACAGTACCATATAATCATTAGTTGCACAGGATTTTAATTTTTGGTAATCAAATACTGTTTTAAAAATACCTTAATTTATCATTAATCAACTATAAATCATCTAAAATTTCATCAAAGTCTCAACAATTATAGACAGTATTAATTCTATTTGTTTCATGGGAGACTTTTTTTCACTATACTTTTAGCAGTTTTCTATTTAGTCTACCATAAAACCTTGCAGTAGTTGTATAATTTGAGAAACCATTTTATTAAAATAGTGATATCCATTTGTCTTTTTGTAGCCTCTTATATGAGCAAGCCTCACCGTGCCAATGAGTACCACAGTATTCCGGCTGTGGACGGGATGTGCTGGCCTGTTCCCGGCCAGATCTCTCCTCTGTCCACACCGGTAACTGAACTTGCTCAGATGTGTTCCCTCGTTGGAATGCCACAGCCAGATTTCTCCTTTCTGAGAACACCTCAGGTAGAGTATTACTTCTACTCCGTTTATATGCATTCTTTAATACTGAGCTTAAATAAATTGACTGACAGTCTTTGGCTAGGAAGATGTAACGGACTTTTAAATTTTTATAACACAGCATAGATTTATGTTTTTCACTCCGTCTGTTACATTTTTACATAACTAGAGCCCTCACAAAGGCTGACAGAAGGAACCTGGGCAGCAAGTATCCCGGCAAGATTCTTCAGATTGACACAGCTGGGGAAATTAAGCTATAGCAATGATTTTTCATGACGTTTTTGTCTCTGAAAATCCTTCATTTATTCTGGAGGAACCCAAGGAAGTTTTGTTTACTTGTGTTATATTTATGTTTATCTTTTAGAAATTAAAACTAGTAAGTCTTATATGTTTCTTAATTCTGTTTTTTTAAGTGTTCTGGGGCTGTATGTATAACTCAGTGATAAGGTATGCCTGGTATGTGCAAAGCCCTGGGTTTGATCTGCCACATTGAAAAAAAAATTTTTAATATTTCTTCAAAAAACACAGCTGGAAAAAAACAATGGATAGAAAAGAGTGGTATTGCTCTAATTTTGTTTTCCAACTACTGGCATTGAATTCAAAACCTTTGCACTGAGCCACATCTAGCCCTTTTTTAATTTTAATTTTTTATGACAGGGTCTACCTATGTTTCCAGGCTAAGCTCAAACTTGTGATCCTCCTGCCTCAGCCTCCCAGAGTGCTAGGATGACAGGGTGTACCACCTTTCCTGGCTGGTATTGCTCTACGTTTTCAAAATTTTTTCCATCTATAGATGAATAAAAGTAGCTAAATTATTGTACATACTTCTATCAGTCTGTTGTAATATGTTGTTTCAGTAGAAATATATGGCAACTCAAAAACAATAGTTGAAAAAAGGAAGAGCATTTCAGTAGCTATTCTTTGATACACTAAAACTTAAAATTTTTCATTTTTTAAGGGTTAGTTGCAATGTCAGATCTGAAACTGTGTGCATGAGTGTTTTTTCCTTTATATACAGTAGACCCTTGACTTACAAACTGGATCTGATCCCAAGGGCTCATTATAACTCAAGCTGATTGTAAGTCAGTACAGCTGAGATCTGGATGTTTACCTGGGTACACACTCTATAGACAACAAAAGGCTGATGAATCTTCCATTAACCTAATGAACCCAAGTTGCTCGTACATCAGGCCATTCATAACTCGAGGGTCTACTGTACGTACGGGAAAGGAGGACAGGAGATGAGAAGGGGAGCAGACAGCATTTATTATTGTGAAAGAGTTTGAGCTGAGCCTCCAGAAAAGGTCTGAGGGGACTCCCCAAGTTCCCAGTCAGCATGTGAGACCTACGTCTAAGAGAAGGAGGTTGTTATATCCTCTGTACATCCAATTTCTTATTACAGTCTCACCTAAAATAGAAAGCAGTTTCTTCTAAGATTAGAAACAAGACAAGGACTAGTTTGGCACTTCCATTCAGAGTACTACAGGAAGTTTAGACAGTCATTAGGCAAGAAAAAGAAATAAAAGGCATCTAAATTAAAAAGAAAAAAGTAAAATTATCTTATATGAAGCCAAGTGTGGTGGTGCACACCTGTAATCCCAGTACTTGAGAGGCTGAGGCAGGAAAATTACCACAAGTTGGAAGCCAGCCTGACCTACATAGTAAGTTCAGAGTGAGCCTGAACTATATAGCAAGTCCCTGTCTCCCTTGTGTTATATGTAGAAAACAGTAATATTTTATTTTAAAAAACTGTTAAAACTAATAATTAGAAAAACCTGAATATAAAATTAATACAAAGTCTATTTTACTTCCATACACTAATGGTGAATAACCTAAAAAGAAAATTAAGATCTCAATCCATTTATGCTAACATCAAAAAGAATAACATACTTAGGGTTAAGCTTAACGAAGGAGGCACTGATGGCAGTAGTACCCAGGGATCTATGTTCAGTGCAATCCCTGTCAAAATCCCAGTGGGATGGCCAGGGATTTAGCTCAGTGGCACTGTGTCTGCCTCATAAGCACAAGGCCCTGAGTTCAATCCCCAGTACCAAAAGAAAAAAAAAAAATCCCGGTGGAAGCTAGATATGGTGATGCACGCCTTGTAATCCCAGCACTTGGGAGGTTGAGGCAGTAACAAGGCCTTGTCTCAAAAAACAAAAGAGACAGGGCCAGGGATTTAGCTCAGTGGTACTGCCTCCTGCTTTGCAAGCACAAGGTCCAGAGGTTGACCCCTGGTACCAAAACAAAAACAGAACAAACAAAAATAATAAACCTCAATGGAATAGAGTAGAATAGAGAGACCATAAGTAAACTCTCGTATATATGGTCATTTGATAGGATGCCAAGACCATTCACAGGAAATGAGGGGATAGGAGGGAGGAAGGGAAGCAAAATACTCTACTTGCTTAGACTGAGCTGTGGGAGAAATTGACTTTCTAGATAGATAATTTCATAGACATCCATATTCTGTTTTTTTAGACAATGACAGTGTGCCAGGTAAAATTATCGAATGGCTTGCTGGTGCATGGGCCACAGTGCCACTCTGAAAATGAAGCCAAGGAGAAAGCTGCAGTTTTTGCTTTACAACAACTGGTAAGAACTGTCCATGACTTTTCTATAAAATCTGTAATGTTTTGGGCTAGGGATTTAGCTCAGTGATTCCACTGCCTGCCTTGCAAGCTCAAAGTCCTGAGTTCAATCCCTGGTACCAAAAAAAAAAAAAAAAGAAGAAGAAAAAAAAACTGTAACATTTCTATAGAAACTTTATAATTTTAAATACTTCCACAGGGCTCCTTAGGAGTGAATTTTCCTTTGCCTCCACCAATATTTCCAAATTATCCTCCTGCTTTACCACCTGGAACCATTCCTCCAGTTTTTCCCCAACCTCCTGGTAAGATATTTTGCTTTTCTAAGAATTTGTCATTAAGTTGATATTTTTAACTAATTTTTCTTAAGCATCATTTTTTAAAAATCCAAAAATTTACCCACTATCTAACAATGTAAGAAGAAATTGTGAGATGTCAGCCTGAAGCTGTAGTCTGCAATCTTACCCAGAAATGCCATTTTTCCCTCCATCCCCTGGCATTTCGAGCACAGAAGGCAGTTCTGTAGAGTGGGCAGGCCAGCAGATCAATTTGAAGTTTGGTCAGACATAAAAATTACAGGTAAAAATATCAGTAACTTCTTTGGGACTCCATTTTCTTATTTATAGCAGACTGTCCAGGATCTCTTTGACACTAGCATTTACAATTTTATGATCCCAAATCTTAAATTGATTAGTCATTTCTTTTATCACTTAGTCTTTTTCCTGAGAAAGTTATTTTTTTTAATAGCAAAACATGTATTGTTATATTTCAGACATACATAGTAACGCTCATCATAAGGAATGTGCACAATACCTCTGCCTCTTTTTTCCTATCTCCCTCATGCCCCCTTCCCCTCCCTATGTACAAAGGCTTTGTTTCCATTTTTTCCTTCTATTTTCAGAAAGTTACCTTCTTAGTAGTAGTATTATTTTTATTTTTTTTTAGATAAAATCTCACTGTGAGATTATTTTTTTGTTTGGTTGGTTTTTTGAGACAGAGTCTTGCTAAGTGGTCCAGTCTGGCCACAATCCTCCTGGCTTGGCCTCCTGAGTGCTGAGATTACAGGTGTGCGCTACCATACCAGGCTTGCTTTGAGAGTCGGGCTGGCCTTGAATTTGAGGTGATCCTCCTGCCTCAGCCTCCCAACTCCTGAAATGACAGGCATATGCCAGCCAGCATACCCAGCTCTTCTTTATATTTTAATCATTGTCATTTTAAAGCAAATACATTTTTTAATAGTAAGCATACTTTTATTTGCTGATTGTCATTACAAAACATCACATTAGCAACTAAAGTGTCTTGAGTTGATATGAAAGGCATTTACTTCCCCAGAGTGTTAAGTAGAAGTTACACTATCAGTATGAAAATGTTAAATTTTGCATTGTCATTACTACTTTGATCTTTAAAATAATTGAGCAAAATAAAGTGAAACATGACATGTTTGTTTTATCTTCAGGAATGTAAAGATCTAATTATATAAGCAGCTTTTATTTTAAAACTAAACTCTGACGGTGTCCACAGAATTGAAAGCCAATACCATATTTAAGCTTGAAAATCACTTTTCTGTTACTTCTGTGTGTCAGATATTTGAGCAACTCTACACATCTAACCCTTATATAAACAATAATAAGAAAATTAACAGTCCTGAATAGGGATAACATTTTAGTTCAGTGATAGAGTACTGCCCTAGTATGCACGAGGCTCTAAGTTCAGTATGAACCCACATGCACACACACACAGGCACACACACATACATACAATAATAATAGCAACAACAGTTCTGATTAGATGTAAATTTACAATGTGCAGTTATCTTTTCTCCTTGCGCAAAGTCCACTAAACTGAGTAAGATTTTAAAAGGTGTAAACATTCAAGTAAAAAAGATGAGTGAAGAGTTAACAGCAGATTAGAAATTTGAAAAGGTTTTGATGAGGAAAAAGTCTGAAGTAACCACTTTTAGCACAGCAGGGTTAACTATAAAGTATGATTTCCACAGAAGAAATTACAGATGAGCTAAAGAGCAGATTTTTCATCATAGTTCCCAAGATTCAAAATTTGGAGATTGTCAGAAACTATCAGAAAAAGCAAGGCGAACCAAGCATGGTGATGCATCCCTGTAATCCCAGCACTCAAGAGGCTGAGGCAGGAGGATCACCACAAGTTTGAGGCCCGCCTAGGCTACATAGTGAATACAAGGCCAACCTAAACTACATAGTGAGACCTGTCTCAAGAAAAATAAAAACAAAACAAAGGCAAAAATGAGGCAGGGATTGAAGAGAGGGATTGGTTGAAAGTCTATAGGTGGAGTGACCACTCCCTCCCATACCTCCTCAACACAACCAAGGCAGTTGGTCTCTTCATGCAAAAGACTGTGAATGTGTTCACTGAAAGGGCTCTCTAGATGTAGAGACAACAGACAACAGAATAGAGAGTGACATATGAAACTGAAGACAGAATTAAGGTAAAGTTACCTTTCCACATCCTATTTCCGGACTGAAATCAGCCATACTCTACCTTTCAGATAAGAAATCAGAGGATAAATCTTTTGAGAAATTCATTGACCTCCAAAGAAAAAATCTACTCACTTTTAGAGGGTATCCCAACCGAAAGGCTATTTCACTAAGCTGATTAGATGTAAGAGTGGGGCCCTCCAATCATTTAACTCTGTGCCCTCCCCATACAGACACTGTTTCTAATCAATTGTAGTGTTTCCCCTTCATGTGACTAGCTACTACACCACAGGTTATTCAAGGCATTAAAGGAGAATTTCCAAAAAGAGAATAAAAAATAAGACAAATTTAAAAGAACACTAGACTGGAGATATAGTTCAGTGGTAGAACACTTGCCATGGGCCGGGGGCTTAGCTCAGTGGTTTGATCCCCGGTACCAAAAATAAAAAAAAAGAACACTTGCCCAGCATGTATGAGACTTAGGTTCAATCCCAGCACTGAAAAGAGGTAAGGAGTGGGGAAATAGAAACAGATATAAAAAATAAGACTGCTCCAAAGAAAACTAATTAATATCTGCAATGAAATTAAACAATATTGCCACCAAAAAATGAAAACGAGGGGCTGGAGATAAAGCTTGAATAAGACCCAGTACCACAGAAAGAAAAAAAAAATTTATGAATAAAAGAATAATTGGGGAAAAAAAACTGTTGGTTCAAAATTTTAAATTTCACTAGACAATGTCTTGTCAAACCAAGAGTAATGCCACATTCCTCTTGTCTCCGACTGAGGTGGGAAGAATCAAAACCAGTCTGATTAACATAGTGAGACCCTGTGGGGAGGGGAGTATAGTACAATACAACAATAATTAGAACCTGAAACAGAAGAACAGAGATTTAGAAGAATAGTACGTAGATTCAGAACCCATCTTATTAGAGATCCGGAAAAAGAGACCAGAAAGGTGAAAAGTACTGAAGGAAGAAAATTATTTCCTAGACAAAGGATATGCATCTCTAAACTGAAAGGAATACCATAGTCTCAGCACATAAATAAAGAGATATTTGTTGCCTTGAAATTCAAAATACTAGTGACTTGTGTCTAGATGTGCCCCCAAAGCTTCATGCAGTCATAGGTGGGGCTTTTCCAGAGGTGGCTGAATCTAGAGTGTGACTGGTTCATGGTACAATGCCAGGATTAAGGGTGGGTGATTACTAAATCAATCTACTGGTTGGTTTGGCACTGCCTTAATCCTGGTAGTTTAGATACAATATAAGGAATAGAAAGAGGCTTGTCTTGTCCCTTGATTGCTTTGCTACCTTCTGCCCACCATAAACTGTTTCTCCTCTGTGATGCCCATCTGCCCTGTCATCCTGCCTTGGAGCCAGCTGATTATGGACTGAAACCTCTACAGACTGTGAGCTAAATAAACCTTTCCCTAGGCCAGGAATTTAGCTCAGTGCTTCTGGCACCTGCCTCGCAAGCACAAGGGTCTGAGTTCAATCCCCTGTACCAAAAAATTTAAAAAATAAAATAAATAAACCTTTTCCCTTTTAACTTTGGGAGTCAGCTATTTTGTCTCAGCAACAAGAGAAAAGTAACTAAGACAACCAGTGATAAAGAGGTAATCCCAAGAGGTTCAGAAAAGAGGGGGAAGTACATATAAAGTTTAAGAATCACAATGGTATTGCCCTATTTAATAGTGCCTAGAAGCTAGAAAGCAGTTGATATTTGAAAGCCCCACAATCCTGAGGCAGCATGAGTTCCATCTCCTAGCACCTTCTAGTTCTCTCTGCATAGCAAAACTAAATCTAGGGCCAGGGATTTAGCTCAGTGGATCCACCACCTGCCTCACAAGCACAAGGTCCTGAGTTCAATCCCATAACGCCCCCCCCCAAAAAAAAAACTAAATGTAGTGCAAAGGTAAAATAAAGGCATTCCCAGACATGCAAACTTATTTCCTACATACCACTTATTAAGAAGTTACTGGGTTTATAAAACTAAAACAACAAATTATAGAGCTAGTATAAATAGGCAATAAATGGAAATCCCAAGGTGTTAGCTGTTCATCAGGTCTAGAAAGTAACAAGTTCCAAATGAGGAAAAGGGACGTCTTGCCGGGGATTTAGCTCAGCGTTTTGGTGGCCTGCCTTGCAAGTGCAAGGACCCAAGTTCAGTCCCCGGTACTAAAAAAAAAGAAAAGGGAAGTCTTACTGATAAAGCAGGTTATCTGCTAGATGGACAACGTTTGGAAAAACATTCAGGATAAGTACAGGACTGGGGGATGTAGCTCAGTGGTAAGAGTGCTTGCCTGTGGTACCCAAGGTATGCTAGGTTCAGTCCCCCCAGTACTGCAAGAACAAAGCAGACTTTTACACTGGGCTGGGATTGTCACTCAGTGGTAAAGCATTTGCCTGAGTTCAATCCCCAGCACCATATAAGTAAGTAAATAAATAAATAGCTTCTTTTGAAAGAGAATCACTAACTAGAATAAAAACAAAAGGTTTTACAGGTAAACAATCAGGTTGGCTCTACAGGGATAAAACCCAGTCACATACGATAAACACTGCTTGTATATTACATGTTTAAATAAATATTGTGATATGCTTAAATTGAGAGGACAGGGCAAGTAGTGAAGCATGGTGCAAAAGAACTGAATTTTTCCTGGGCATGGTGGCAACACACCTATAATCCCACTACTCAGGAGGCTGAGGCAGGAGGATTCTCACAAGTTTGAGGGCAGCCTGGGCTCCATAGTGAGTTCAGGGCTTGCTTTAACTACATAGTGAAACCCTGTCTTAAAAAAAAACCCAAAAACTGAGTTTTGATCTTAACAGGAATTTATTATGTCCAAAAATGCCTAAAATTGGTAAATCACTAGTAGCATAAGCTAATTATTGAGCAGTGTGGAAATAAACATCTAAACTAGTTAAACCTGAACAGGTGGTGCTAATTTATGTTGAAAACCATTTTTTAGTACAATGCATATGTATACTCTAATCTTTTTTCAAAATGCAATCACCCACGATTATTAGTAAGTAGCAGAACTAGTTTCAACATCCAGAATTGGCGTTTTCAAGAAAGCTCATGCTTTTGGTAATGTGTGCATTGGGGTAATGTTTATAACTTAGTGCAGTAATGACACTATAAGTTGTAACATAATTTCCTTTTTCTCCTTCAAAAATGAGTCTGATACACACATTATTTTAAATTATATTAATTTTGGGTACCTAAATTTTGGGCTAAGTACCTAAAACTTTTCCCATGAGCTTGTCTAAAAAATAATTTCTAAAATAATCTCTAAAAATAATTCTCTAAAAAAGAAGCTTAAAGTTATAACTTGAATGCTTTGGGCCTTCTACAGATGTTCCAGTTAAAATAATGTGAATACCTAAGAGTCAAGAAATTTAATAATTAAACAAAAAAATAATAATAAAACCTTTTTTAAACTTTTTTAAAAAAGAAATCTATCAGTCTGAAGAAAATGAGTGGCAAATTAACACTTTATTTTGTAATTTTTTTTCATGGCCTAAAAACTTCGTTTGGATTTCCTGGGGAAATATTGGAGCTGGCCTGTACATAACAGATGCATAGCACTTTCTTATGCTGGATTGAGCCTAGGGCTTAGTTGATGCTACAGGTGCTATGCCACCGAGCTGTCTCTCCAGCCCCCACATCAGCTTACCTTATAATTAACATTATGACCCCCACCAGAGTTGCTTAGAGATAATAGCAAGACCTAATTTTCTAAATCTTATTAGTGTCCTTCCTATTAACAACTTTCTTCATCCAAGAATTTGTACATGTATAATTCAGAACACTAAAATATATTGATTCTTATTTTTAGAATAGAAAATACCAAATTTTCTTGTTGTGGATTTAAATTAAGCTATACTATATCATGGGTATAACTGCTTTTTAATCTCTCTGAACATAGTGCTTGTCTCCTTCAGTGGCACTGTGCTATTATCTTTTTGTCACTGTTAAATGCAATCATTCCCAAATGCAGTGCTGGTGCTATCTGTCTGCAAAACACAGGGGAGCTTGATCATGATATAGTCTCCTGAGTGCCCAAGTGTGGCTTAGGAGGCCTGGGTAAGTTTGTCTGTCTGGGCATCTTTAATGCACAAACTCCCCAGATGGCACAAGTAGACAAATCAAGTTTTGCAGTCAGTGATTCAGTGTGTTTTCAGGAAAAGAAAAGGAAAAAACTCTTGAATTATAAATATTAGAATAAAGAAAGAAAAATTCTAGGGGGCTGGGGATTTAGCTCAGTGATTCCACCGCCTGCCTCACAAGCTCAAGGACCGGAGTTTGATACCCAGTACCAAAAAAAAAGAAAAAAGAAAGAAAAGAAAAATTGTACATGTCAGATTTCAGAACTTGAGCTGTTCTGGGTTTTTATAGGCTGGGATCACTATGGAAGCAACTTAGCATTGGGCTAAGTCCTAAGACTGCTATCTTTGCGCCAGGCTTTTCTTCCCAAAGAATAGCTTTGTTGCCTCTTTGGGTTTTGTTTGTTTGTTTGTTTGTTTTTGGTACCGGGGATTGAACTCGGGTCCTTGTGCTTGCAAGGCAGGCCACCGAACCGCTGAGCTAAATCCCCAGCCCACTTTTTTCTTTTTTTTTAACAGGTAGAGAATGATTTATTATTTTTTCAAATCAGAAAGGCAAAGAGATCTTTGGATGGTTTTGGAGGAGGGAAGAAATAAGAAGAGTGTAATAGAGTATTGTTTTGGCAGAAAGGGATTAAGAGTTCAAAGTTTGAGTTATTAAAATACAGTATTTTCTCTTAAGGCAGGCATAACCCTTTGTTTTGTTTTTTAGGGTTTTTTTTGTTTTGTTTTGTTTTTTGTTTTTTGTGGGGGTTTTTTTTGATATTAAGGATAAGACTCGGGTCTTTTTGTTTACAAGGCAGGTGGCAGAACCACTGAGCTGAATCCCTGGCCCACCCTTTGTTATTTTTTAAAAATACAATCACAGATTGGCCCAGGGATGATTTAGCTCAGTGGTTCCATTGCCTGCCCCACAAGCACAGGGTCCTGAGTTTAATCTGCGGTACCCCCCCAAAAAAAACTATATATATATATTTCACATAGCATATGATATTATTGACCTTTGTAAACGAGCATAATTATCATTCATTGTTATAGAAATTTCACAGGCCTAAGAAAGGATCCTGACATTCAACACAATAATTACTCTCTATGCTTAGGCCTTTCACTAAAGGAGAAACAGACAGTCAAAAGGGGCTAAAAAGAACAGGTCTAAAATAAGAGAATGATTACTCTGTGTTGTAAATACCGAATGGTTTCTCTGGTGTGAAAAACTACAAGTATAAATAAGGTTCAAATGGTATAATTGGGAGTTTGAAATAGGAAGAAAATGGCTAAAGGAGAAGTGGGAAGCAGAGGGGAAAGAAAATAAGGAAAAAGAAAAAATGGAAACATTCTTTGTAAATAGGGAAGGGTGAAGGGGGTGAAGAGAGGGCAGGGGAATGGGAAAAACAAGAACCAAGATATATCACGTAAAGGTGCAAGATCCCAATGACAAATGTAACTGTACTGTTTACTTTAAATGTACCAATAAATTTAATGAAAAAAAAACAAAAGGTCTTAAATTTCAGGGCTCTTGATTTTACTAAGAGAAATTATTTGTTTTTTTGTTTTGTTTTGTTTGTGGTTTTTAACAGCTAATATAATGCCTTCATCACCTCATCTCTTTGGCTCAGTTCGGTGGGGTCCACCAGTGCCAGTTCCCGGGAAGCCCTTCCATCAGACTCCATACCCTGGGGCCATGCCCACGGCTGGAGGAATGCCAGGTGGTACACACAATCAGTTCATACCTTTGCAGGTGAGACCTAGGAAGAGAATTGTTTATTTTATTTTATTTTTCCTGGTACTGGGGATGGAACCCAGGACCTTGTGCCAGCAAGGCAGGCGCGGTGCCACTGAGCTAAATCTCCAGCTGGAGAAAATTGTTTCTTAAAAGTTAAAAACCTGTTGATGAAATTCTGTTCATTTGGTCAGGTGTGGTGGCACACACTTGTAATCTGAGCTACTCGGGAGACAAAGGCGAGTTCCTTCAAATTTGGGGCTAGCCTGAGTACCTTAGCCAGATCCTGTCTGAAAATACAAAATAAAAAAGAGACTAGAGACTTATCTTAGTGTGAGGCCCTGGGTTCAACCCCAGTACTGAAAAAAGAAAAAAGAATTTATTTATTCAATTTACTTATTCAGTACCTGCTAGCAGTCCACTGCTTGTATAGGAACTAACGTGGAATGGTGACACATCTGACCTGGTCTCTGTTGTCTGAGTTTGTATCTAATAAATAATAATTATCATGGCAAGTAATAATATGCTATTCTAACAAAGTGACTGAATGACAAGAATATAAAATGTTGACGTTTAATTTACGGATAACTTTTCAGTATTTCACTGCAACAAAATTCTTTGAATTATTAATTATTAATTATTAATTTGGAGATTATAAATGGAAGTCACAAATCAGCAGTGATTAACAAATCCTGCGGGGCATAGTGGTGTCGTAATCCCAGCAAGCACTTGAGAGGCTGCGGCAGAAGGACTGCCATGAGTTCAAGGCTAACCCAGGCTACACAGTGAGTTCAAGACCAGCCTGCACTACAAAGTGAGAACCTGTCTCAAAAAAAACAAAAAACAAAAACAAAATTCTTATGCATCTGGAGGTGGTGGTGGTGGTGATGTTTTTTGAGGTAAGGTCTTGCTTTTAGTGGCATGTGCCATCACGCCTCACTGCTATTTTCTAACACTACCTTTACTTCTTTTACCTACACTGTTAATGATGCTTTTTCCTTCAAGGTTACAAAAAAAAGAGTTGCAAACAAAAAGAACTTTGAGAATAAAGAAGCCCAGAGTTCTTCTCAAGCCACCCCAGCTCAGACTAGCAAGCCAGGGTCTTCTGATGTCACCAAAGTGACTGCACAGGAAAGTTCATCAGCCTCTTTGAACTCCTCTCAGGTTGCTCAGGCTGCATCTTCTTTTCAAGGTGAAACTGCCTCCCACAGCATTCACAATGCATCTCACCAGAAGGCAACACTAAGCTCTTCTTCAAGAAGAAAATCAAGGAAACTGGCTGTCAATTTTGGCGTTTCTAAACCTTCTGAATAAATTTGGTACTTGGGAATTAATTTCTTTTCTTTCCATCTGCCTTTTTATAAATCCATATCTCATGAAATCCATGTCTCATAGAAACTTATAACACTTTTTTAAAAGTAGGAACCACAGTCTTTATATGGAGCTGCCTATGTACTATTTTAAAATAATATGTTTAAATTGAATATTTGTAATTTTTAAGTTGTAAGGCACTTTTCATGCTATTTAAAAGACTATATATCAAATTGTGCACTTTAAATATGTGCAGTTTGTTGTATGTCAATTATACCTCAATAAAGCTATAAAAAAGAAAAAGAAAAATGACTAAACGAAAGCTTGTGTTAAAATAAGTATCAGTGCGGGCCAGGGATTTGGCTCAGTGGTTCCGCTGCCTGCCTCGCAAGCGCAAGGGCCTGAGTTCGATTCCTGGTACCAAAAAATAAATAAATAAGTGTCAGTGGCTGAGCATTAAAATGTACCACTCTAACCATTGGCCTTCTCATTAGAAGCATCCTTGAAATATGAATTAGACATCATATTAGCAATAATTATAAACATGCTGTCATTGAGGGATAATTGGAGCATGAAAATTGGGCCTCAAATATAATATACTGGATGTGGATTTATTTTTCTTTAAAGTTATCAGATGAATGGCTCTTATTTATGTCTATCGTGATTCATGTTCTCTTATCGCCCAGGGTCCTTTGGACCTGCTGTGAAGTGATCTCTCTGGTTGTGGTGCTGCCAGTTTTACTTCATTCTAAATTTGTACCAAAGCAACTTCAGAATACTGATCAGAATACTTCATCCAGTTACTCAGAACTATAAGTAGCAATCTAGATTTGAGTAATTATAATTTTTTAAATTATTCAAGAACCAGCATTAGTAATTTCTAATAAAAGTGTTTCAAATCTACAGGGTACAAGTTGATCTACTAGTAGAATAAATATTAGTCATATTGTTAATTAAAATAAGTTGTTATTCTTTTATGTAGCTTTTTATTTGCCTACTTGTCATATGTGAGAGCTCATTGTTGGTCTGTGTGTACTGCTCCCTAGAACTGATAAAGTTCTAAACATATTCCAAGGTGTGCTATAACACAATCATCAGTTTGTGGTGTACGTTATTTACTGCCTGTCTTGTTCTGTATTTTAGTTTTATGCTGAAATATTCTTTGATGCTGGTATTCTGTCTTGTATATTATGTAGGGGTGTGTGTTAAAACTATTGAAATTATAGAATTTATGACAATTTCTCAGTGGTTTCAGGGTGTGTGTGTGTGTGTGTGTGTGTGTGTGTGTGTAAAACCCTTTAGTTTTTATGATATGCTTATATTTTTGAGGATAAAAGTTATACTTTATGAAAAGTGGGAACCATACTCTTGATATGGAGCTCCTTATTAACATATCTGATTTCATTTAACTCATTGAAAACTGCAATAATTCTTAAAATCAACTTTTTTTATTTGGTACCGGGAATCGAATGTTGGACCTTGCACTTGCAAGGCAGGTGGTGGCACCACTGAGCTAAATTCCCGGCCCCAACTCTGTTTTTTTTTAAAATACTGGCAGTGTACTAAATGAACTTCTTTCTCTGATGATTTTAGTTTCTCTAAATGTTAGCAAGATATTTATATATTAGTAGTCTTTAGTATATGAACTAATGAACTTTTTGTTACTTTTCCCCCCTAGTAATTTCAAATGTTCAAATGTTTGTCAGTTTTCAACATTTCATTGTCTCTTTTGCCACAGTGGGATCTTGAGGAATGAGGCTCACGTATGTAATTCTCAGTGTTCATTGTTTCACAAACTGGGGAAATACTATGAGCATCAAGAGAAGAGTTAAGTTGTGACAATAATGTCAACCTTTTTCTCCTTTAAAATATGTAATCCAATGTTTATTACTTCGCCGAACTACAAACTCCAGCGTACAAGAACTGCCTCATTCATCACACCTGTGTGGCTGTTCATCAACAGTGTGCAGCCCAAATTTGAGAGCACATGCCATCTTCTGAAACATCAAGGGAAATTTTAGTAAACCCATAAGGATACCTCTCCAATATTTGAGTAGAGCAAGCTAATAATTCTACATAGATAACCAATAAAAGTATTTTACAGCCTTTTTAAAAAATATTCTAAAGGTCAAACTTAGAGATTAAACTACGAGAGAGCTCCACAGTGGCTGGACAGAGGTCAGGTATTCGCTGTTCTCTTCCCCTTACGGGCCTATTCCAGATGTGGGCTGATAGCAGTGAGGTGCAGCACAGAGCCATTGTTACTGCATATGGCACTGCGGAGACCGGCACCGCTGGTGGTCATGCTGGAAGTGTCTAGTGCAGCTCTGAAAAACGACTGGACTTTGGGAAATTTGGGCAAATTGAGACCACCACCAAAGTTTAGAAAGATGCTCATTCAACTTGAACCTGAGGGGTTTTTCTAAGTGATGGACTATATCAGGCACAGAAGAGGTAGACTCCCCAGATTGCTTCACATTTCCACAGAACTATGGAGTACTTGAATCTATTTAAACATTTCTCTCCTTACTGAAACGTTACTTCTAAATAATCTTGTTCAAGTCTTTTTAAGAAAATTACATGAATTCTAAAGATAGATTCTTCCTGTCTCGCTGTTCTTTGTACAATTTCCTGCATTACTCAGTTTTATAATTTGACTGATTTAAACCTCATCCAGACTGAAGTCTTAAACATCTAAGACTGAGCAGCATGAAAAATTAAATTCACTTCTATTGAAATTCTCCTTGCTTTTCCATGAAAGACTGGAAATCTATCTTTCTTTGTCTATTTTTTTGGTACTGGGAATTGAACCTCGGGTCCTTGCGCTTGCAAGGCAGGCCACCGAACTGCTGAGCTAAATCCCTGGCCCTTTCTTTCTCTTGATGGGAGAGATGAAGAACTATTGATGAAACTTTTTTGTTGCTTAATTCCTTTTCTGTAATCAAATATTTGCTTTGGTTTTAGGCTAATCTAGATTTAATCTAGTTTTAAGAAAAAAATTATTAGAAAAGGATAATTGTGAATGGCATTTTTAAAAATTCGATCACCTTAAAAAAATCAAGCACAAGCCAAGTGTAGTGGTCCATACCTGTAATCCCAACACTTGGGAGGCTGAGGCAGGAGGATCACTGTGAGTTCGAGACCAGCCTGGGCTACATAGTGAGTTCCAGGTCAGTCTCAGCTACACAGTGAGACCCTGTCTCAAAAAAAAAAAAAATCACACAAGTAGTCATTTTTCTAGAGATGACAGTAATACTCTAACTTGCAGTGTGCCATATGTACATGTTATAAACTTTTGTCATTGCTATAGTTTTTTTTGTAGATGCTTCCTTTACTGATCAGAATAAAGTTTAAAATTGTAGGACTGTTTTCAGACTGACTTAATTCCTGTTGCCACCAAACTTCTCAATCCTCTGCCAGGAACAGTAAGAGACAGAGGAAACAGCACCATATCTCCAGCAACAGAGCCAACAGGCAGGCCCCAGATTTCATTGTTAGTGTCCCGAGGCGACAATTCAGACATCACAGATCCTTCTTGCAGAAAACAACGAAAAATGTGTAAAATAGTTTGACTAGTCAAGAATATCGACAATCCATATCTGCTTTTGTGTTGTGTGTGTGTGTGTGTGTCAGTGAACCAATAATGATGCCTTGCTCAGTGTGTTCAGCCATCTCAAGTGCAATTTGTGAAGGAGACTGTGGTTTCCAACGATACATTTTTACACAAACTTGTAAAATTTATTTTTTTTTCCAGCAGTATACTACTTGTTATTGGTTATTTCACCCTCTGGTATACTATTAACTTATCCAGGCCAAATAATTAAGTTTCTGTAGTTGTTTTAGTAATTTGAAGGCAGATTCTCATGTTCTCTCTCATGAATTGACAAGAGTGAGCATTTGGTCTACAGTTTGCTTTAAGTTCTTTTATTCCTTTTTACTATAATTAGGGGTTTTTGTGTTTGTGCTTTTTGGAATTGGTTGTGGTTTTGGCTTGGTTTGGTTTGGTTGTGGCCTCAAGTATCACTTCCTTTTGCCTGCATCAGATTGCTTCTTTGAGTGTTTTCATCTGTTATGATACATGAGTAATAGAATGTGTGCTGTGTCAGCAGTGTCCAACATTTTGTTCGTTTAAACAATATAATTCATGTACATCTTAATTCACTTCTCACGTATTTTATAAGTAACTGGAAATTTTCATTAGATCTTATACAGAGCAGTATTTTATTAAAAATTCAAAAGGGAAGACTTATGTGTTCATTTTGTAGTTTTCCTGTTTTTAAAATATATTTACGTTATCTGCCAATTAAGAGTGTTTAAACTTGCGGTGGAATGGACTCAATGTATTTTTGTGTTAAGTTGTATATTTGTAAATTTCTAGCATGAAATTAGCCTCAAAATACTGTGCAAAGGGATTTTAAAATGAGTCACTGAAAGATTTTAAACGTCTATATATGTTAATTACTCTATGAGTTTTAATTAAAGATTTAAGAATGATTTCATAAGCTGGTTGTTTTATCATTGCATTAATATCAAAAGTAGAAAAGTTATCACTTTTACATGAACTCATTCATTTATAGCTCTTGTCTTGATGCTCTGTGTTGTAGTAAGTTGAAACAGCATTGTAGACTAGGAAGGCTATCATTCAGATCCTAGTTCTACCTCACATGTGGAAATAAATCATTATCCTATTATTGGCATATTACATAAGGTGTAAGCCTCAGATTCTTAGTCTCTTAAAGGAAGAAAACAATAGCCTTTCTCTTGTTCATATGTACAAAGCACCAGATACAGAGTAGGTCTGTATAAGTTTTAGTACTAATAAGGACTTATCACCCATATGCTTTAATCTATTAGCTGGGTCCCAAACACACCTAGAGTTCTCTGGATGATGCCATATATTTCTGCCATATTCAGTGTGTTCAGTAGTAAGTCTCCTACGTGTGTAGATAAGTTTCTTGCCAGATCATAACATGCACGGCCTATAGTCCAGTTTCCAATAGAATCCTCATTCCCAGCTGAACTCACAGTGATCCTCTTGCCTCAGCCTCCCAAGTGCTGGGATTACAGGTGTGTGCCACCGTGCTCAGCTTTTTTGGGGGGATACATTATATATAGTACATGTGTGTGGTACCCTGTGATTCAATACAGGTACATATTGTGAAATACTCAAGCTAGCCATCCAAACATCATTGATTTCTAGTGAAAACACTGAACATCCTTTCTGCTGACTCTTGAAATGTACAACACCTTATCATTATCTGTCCTCTCCTTCTTCCAACAGAACCCCGGGGCTTTTTTCCCTTATCTAACTGTAACTGTACCTACTGACTGACCCACCAGTTCCCTCTCTGCCTCTCTCCCAGCCTCTGGCAGCCACCACTCTGCTCGGTTGCAACTTTCACAAAGCGCTTGACCCATGGCAACCTAGTAGAGAAGGATCCAGGTGACAAATGTCAGAAGCCACTGTTTCCTCTCTACAGATCTTGCCGGTGCTCTGTATGGGCAAAGTGGACCAGGCAGCTGCAGGACAGGGGTGCCCACTCTTGCAGCCCGCCGGCTGCGTTTCAGGCCGCAGCGGAAGGCAGATGCTCGGGCCTGGAGGGAAGAGAAGCCACGGGCTCATCCATGGGGTTTACATGTTTTTAGTTTGTCTGTTTTGTACCGGGATCAAACTCAGGACCTTGCGCTTGCAAGGCGGGCAGTGGCACCACTGAGCTAAATCCCTGGCCCTACATGGTTTTAATAATGTAAGCAAAACCATGTGAATGCCATGTTAGGAAATGGAACAGGTGAGTGTCTGGTGTCAGGGAGGGATGAAAATTCAATAGACCATACGTAAAATAAAAAGCCAAAGTGACCATAGTGTGGCACACAACTGTCAGTTCAAATCCTGTCGAGGCAACTTAGCAAGACCCTATCTCAAAATTTAAAAAAGAAGGCTGGGGATGTAATATATGTAGCTCAGTGGGAAGGCTCTGGGTTCAAGTCCCTGTACCCCTCTCCCCAGAAAAGGCATACTTAGAGATACAGAAGAAAATACATGAAGATTTAACGTGACTTCATAAAACGGAATTGAAACATCTCGTGGAACCTTCTCGATCCTACCATCCTGACACCCTGTTATCTTAGGGTACATTTGACTATTGAAACCTACTGAAAGATGACTCACAGGCTAAAAATCTATGAATTAGAAAATCTGTAAACATCTGTGTTCGCAGTACAAAGGGAAGAATGTAACTTTTTTTTTTTTTTTTTTTTCCTTCGGAACCTTGCACTTGCAAGGCAGGCGGCAGAACCACTGAGCTAAATCCCTGGCCCCAAGGTGTAGCTTTTTAGAGAGGAGATTGTGCGTTTCACGGTTCTGATGATTGAACCCAGGGCATCTGCATGCTAGGTAAGTACAGTCCTAGAATAAGGATTGATGATCACTTCCTAGCCCCGCCGTGGTGCTGAGAAGTAATTCTAGGACCTCATGCATACCAAACATGAGTTCTGACACTGAGCTACACCAGAGGCAGGTCATTATCTTAAGAGATCAAGCTGGGTCAGGTGAGTTGCTGGGAGGCGTGGATAACACGGGACACCGTGCTGCTTGTTTTGTTTTGCTTTGCTTTCGTCTTTGAGACAGGGCCTCCCTATGCAGTTCAGGCTGACCTTGAACTCACTATGTGCCTCAGCCTACCAAGTGCTGGGACTACAGGTGTGCACCACCATACCAGGCTGATGTGCTTCTTTGTTTGATGCAGGGGAAGCACACAGTATCTCTAAGGGCATCAGACAAATTTGGACTTTGTGAGATATTCTGAAAGACAGTTGACTGATCTCTCAAAAAGAGGTTGAGAGAGCCAGTCTTAGTCCATTTGGGCAACTGTAACAAAATACTTTAAACCAGCTACTTACAAACAACATAAATTGACTTCTGTTCTGGACACTGGGAAGCCAAGGTCAAGGCACCAATAGGTGGATCTGGAATCTGGTGTGGGTCAGCACCCAAGAGAGCTGGCTCTTCTGTGCAACTTCTCATGGCTGAAGGGCCAGAGTGGCTCAGGGCCCCCAAGTGAGGGTTCTGACTCCACCCAGGAAGGCTCCAACTTCATGTCCTGATCACCTTCCAAAAGGCCCCATCTCCTAACACCTCTGTTTTGTTGGAGGGCGGTATTTCAGCACATGGATTTGGGGGGCACACCGATATTCTGACCACAATAAACATACTGTTCTAGATTGAGAGAGAATCAAGAAAAAAATGGGAGGAGAGGCGGGAGGGGAAAGGAAGAAGGAAACCTAACAGTCAAAAGCAGTATTAATGTTTGATTGGAACCAACCAAGGGGAGAACTATCAACTGTAAAAGACACCGGATCAGTGTGTTTTCTTCAGAAGCGGTCGTGTAATAGATGCTGCTGTTTGTGACAATGCAGGCTGAAGTAAGAGTGAAGTGTCCCATCCACTGCCCACTCAGAGGCTCTAGCATTAAAGGAAGTGCAGGAGGCAGGTGGAGGGAATGCGGTCACCGCCTTCTCTCTGAATGTGTAATGTTTTATTTTTTGAGTCACTGAGTATCATTACTGTGGTACCAAGTCGTACAGTAGACTAACAAAAACTTACGATTTGACAATGACTCTTATTTGCTAGAGGAGATATCTTGTCTGATGTCTTTTTCTTAAAGTTGTTTTTATCTCATCGGGATTTTTAATGTTTGAAGTAGTAATTTGTAGGATATGAAGAGTTCAATAAAATGTTGAAAAAAAAAGAAACAGCAAAAACTGGGTGAAAGGGTAGGAAAAATATGAAGATTAAAAAGCCCACAATCGCACCTCTAATGCTGGCACTTGGGAGACTGCGCAGGAAGATCGCCATGAGTTTTCTTTTGTTTCTTATAGCCATGCGTTGACAACAGCTTGGGCTGCACAGTGAGTTCAAGACCAGCCTGGACCACAGAGTAAAACCCTGTCTTGAAAAACAAAAACAGTGACAAAAAGCCTTCTGTGAGATATTGGTTGGGAAGGGAAACTGAGACTGAACTGAGTGTGATCCCCAGGCAATAAAGACCTCATCCCAGTACGGTAACCAGCTATTAAAGCTCAGTAATTGATTCTAAGAGGCAAGTACACCTTTGGTTGCCAGCAACCTAGATGACAAGAAGTCAGT